TCTGCCGTTTCTTGTGTCCTTCTTGATCCCACGCCCCTGTCGTGCCCTCTGGTCCCGTGCTCACGCCGCCGCCCCCCCCCCCACCCTACATGTCTTTTCCTTGTGTTGTTTCTTTTGGTTCGAGGCTGCACTACTCGTGTCTTATGCCTCGGTCGACGAAGCCCTATGCTGCTGCCTCTGTCTTTTCGTCCCTCCCTTTCTAACCTCCCCGCCTCGCCCGGTCCTTTTTTTTTTTTTTTTTTTTTTTTTTTGGACTGATATCTCCGCCGATTACCTCTGTGATTGACGGATGGCTTTATGGAATTTCCGGGCTTCCGAGACAAGGATAGAGAGAGAAAGCAAGAGGGAGAGCGAGAGAGACAGAGAGAGGAAGATTACATGTACAAACATCACAAGAGAAAAGGGGGCCCGGGGGGGGGGGGGCCCTGGGTTTGAGGAGGGCTGGCCCGGGTAGGCAGGTTCTGGATCGATGATAATATATATGTATGCCTGTTTGTACCCATGATGGGTATATCTGTAGGATCACATATAGTATAATCCGTCCGGAATTGCTTCGGTTACTTTGCTCTGCTTTGCTCTATGCCCCAGGTCGGGACTGGGGGCCACGATCCACGATCCACGGCTCGCAAAGCAGCAACTAGATTAGCAAGGACAGACGGTATACCCGGTTCAGCGGACTGACTTGGGGGAAAGGTGAGCATTTGAAAGAATGTGAACGTATCTGTGCAGCTGTGCATCTTGTCGTATTGTATATACAAATATAGTATGTATGTTCATGCGTGTCAATCATCGGGTCTGGGGGACTGTCCGCCCATAGCATGTTTGCTCTAGACTGCCCTAACTGGGTATCAGCCTCGATACATTAGGTTCGCAACCTTCAGAGCTTCCACTGCCCTGCGCTGCAGTATTTCCTTCTTCCCCTCCACATCCGTCGTTGAGGATATGCGCCAATCGGCCATCCTTTGCTCTCTGGGCATCCAAAATGGCTTGTACGGCGGCTCGGACTTGAGGAACATGATTTTCCTCAGCAGCTCTGAGTCTCCTTTCTCCTCGTGACTAAGAATATCGCCGTCAGGGGATGCCAAACCTCTCGACTGTAACGCTGCGAGCTCCTCGTCTTCACCCTCTTGGTATTTTGTAGCTGTAACATCCAACTCGACAAGAAGTCTCTTTTCCTCTTCTTCGTCAATTTTGGTCAAAACGGCAATCTGATCTTGACGTGTTTGGCGAAATGTCTCATTCCAGAGCAATAGGTTTGCAACATTCTCCCCCTCTACCTGTTTGACTTGTAACAGGATCCACTTCAACAGTGTTGCCGGCGTGCCTTGATCACCATATCGTGTGACGCCGACGTGCCACAACGCTCGACTGATGGCTGGCGAGACAGGTGCTCCATAGCGGCGCAGGAACAGATAGCACCAGTAGACTCTGCGGAGTGCAGCCCGGGGGGTGGCGACATTCGAAGTTGCAAATGAGAGGGCAAGATGACCTATCAGATCAATTACTTCATCTCTGCTGGGTAAGCTCCAATCGCTCGACGCATCTTCTGGTTTTGAGGACGAGACTGTTTTACTTCCCACTGGAGTGCTGAGATTCGCGAACGTACCAGTTTGAAGGGATGGCCTTGCAACAAGAAGGTGAGGTGTCCTTAACGCTAACTTGAACAGCGGATTGGTCTCTAGGAGGTGGCAGACAAAGCCAAACGATGCTGTGCTTTTGTGTATCATCCTCCGTGATAAGATCTTGAAGGCCGAAAGATCTTTGTTTGAACTCTCGATCAGCTCTGCCAATGCCTCGTGGCCTGCAAAGTGAGCATTCTGGATGCGTTTGTCGATCAAGCTTGGAGATAAGCCCGGTTTCAATATCGACTGGCCAGTGCATTTACTGTCCAACGCAGGTAGCAGTTCCTCTGCTCTACCCGATAGTCTCGTAAGATTTCGAAGGAGGATGTGGTTGTTCGGCAGAGCCATACAAGCAGGCTCAAGAACAGCGCGATCCAGGAAGTCTTCAGTAAACTCTGGTATCGACCGCAGCAAGTTTTCAAAGAGGTCGAGAAACCGCATCCCATCCTCCATTTTCACGGATTGTTGACGATCTGAAGAGAGATGCATTGCAGTCCAGGCAAATGCCAACAGACGTTGATCTTGTAGTAGGGAGCTTCTCGTAGATTGCACAGAAGCCCACGCTTCCTCTGTCAGAGAGACATTATAACCTGGTGATCCAAGAATGGCCAGTGTACCACACCAGTGATGCCACAGGTACTTGTACAGCATCGTGCGGGATTCCATCGACATGTTCAGCAACTTCTCCGTTATATCAACCAGGGCGAGCTGTAAAACCTCCGAGTCGGCCGCTGCCAGCCTTTCGGCGAGTATTCGTCCTACTTTCTCTTGAAGATTGTGTTGACAGGCATAATGGAGCTGTTTCAGCGTAATCCGACGAATGACGGGAATGTCAGATTTCGGTGCCCATGGGAGGAGACGCCACAATAACTTCCGGCACCAGCCACGGTAGTATCTCAGTGTCGCAAACTTCGAGAAGAGTCCGGTCAGAAAGGGCGGCCCAAGGTCGGTAATGCGCAAAATTGTAGAGCGATCGAGCGAATCCAGAATTCCGTAGATCAGGTACATTTGGGCATTGGCCTTCACTTTTTTCTTCTTGCCGTGGGTGTCGGTTAGCCGTACCTCCGTCAGACTGACCAACTCGCTAATGACCTCCTTCAGATCATTCACGTTGAGTAGGCCTAGTTCAGTAGCAGAACAAAGAGCATCATGCAGGACTCCCCAGGAGGTCGCGTCCCAAGTACGATCGAGAAGGCCGCGCATTAATTCAAGAATATATGACGTTCCCGGTGGATGAAATATCGGGTCGCATATGTACGATGCGATCTCGTGTATCTGGAATTCCGCCTCGAGGATATGTTTCGGTATCGCAGCTCGGACATGACCATTTTCACGCAGATTGACTCCTCCATCTTGAACCCAGTCCTTAATTTCGACTAGAGTTTTGCAGTGGGACAGTTGATTCGTCTCGATTTCAGATCTTTTCCTCGACTCTGGTATTGTCTCTTCTGGTTGGCGTGCGACAATCGCGGGCTTTGTGAGGGCGGGCGAGCTTTCAAAGGGAAAGAGCCACGATGGTAGGACTCGCGGAGAAGCTACAGGTCACACAGTGAGATTGGTTTCTTCGAGCGATTTGCCTCATGAGGTGCATACCTGAGTCTGCGGCCTCTCCATGCTGGGGAGACTGCCACCAAGCTAGCTTGTTCGCAGAGCTTCCGAGGACAATTGAAGGATCAGCTGCGATACCCCCGGGGCTGGCATATGCCAGACTTGTATTTTTGCGTCTCGCAGCGCGCCGCTGTGCCTCCAGGGGACCTGGCACGCTGCTGCCATACCGCTTGTGGTGACCAAACCGATCGAAGGTGTCTGTCAAGAGTGCGTCGGATATCCACACAAACCTCGGGGTTTGGTTCGAGATGCAGCTCGCTGCAGAAAGACTTTTAGTCATAACATTAGGGCGACGGCAAAGAACACCGCAGCACGCGACTGAGGTTGAGCGGCGGTGATAGTTTGTGGAAGATCATGTCAATTGGAGCACAAGTCGACGAGGCTTTGCCGAACCGAAGGGGAAAAGAGTTGCTCATATCGTGCGAATGCTGCACCGTAGGTACTACGAATGACCTGCTCCCCCGTACTTGCACATTCAGATATTGCAGTCACTTCATTGGACCTCTGCACTTGACTACAACAAATCATCAACACCAATAGGACTCTTCACGATGCAGGCATCTTGGAAAGGTTAATAACACTTTGAAATTCCCTATGACCGACCGACCATACCTAATCACCTACCCATTCCCACCCATGTAAAACACCATTTCCCACTATTCCTCCAGCCACCAGATGATCCGTCTCCTCTATAAGCCCCCCATTTTACTCCTGCCAAATATGTACTCTTCCAAGTCCTCCTCCCGGGTATCTCTGTATTTTGTCGTAGCGCCATACTCCTGGCAATATTTGCTGGTGATTATTCGTCCCTACATGTCAGTAAACTCGTTCCCTGTCATTAATTAGTGCGCCAATGTCTATGCAATACTTCCCCGCTGCCAATATTCCCCCTAGCTCTGTGTCTAGAATACTTCGCGTCCTCGAATCCGGAAAGGCGTCGTAACTGACGTAGATGTGGTGGTAGACGTCATAGTGGTGCTCTCGGTGGCTGATTGTGTGGTTGTCACAAATGCTGTCGAAATGTTGGCTGGAAAACCATCAGCCAGGGCTAGGCTTGTCGAGATAGCGATATTCATGCTATCGCCTGTATCGGCAGGAGCGGGAGTCGCTATTGTCGTGAGAGTGGTGCCTGGAAGGGCTGCGACTTGCGAAAAGGCCGAGGATGCACTGGTAGGAGTGGGCGTGTCCGTGGTCGTAGGAGTTACGCTTGAGAATGGCGGGCCAGTATTCCTTGGAGTCACAGCGGCGTACAAGGTAATGGTTCTCATACCATTTCTGAATGGCCTTGGACCTCCATCAGGACAAGGATCGACGTATATCGATCTTCCGGCAGACACCATTGACTGCAAGCTTGGGTCTGCCGACATAAATGTGGATGTGACATCCGGGGCGCTGCTTAGAGCGACTAAATTCGTCGGTACACCATTGGGTCCCGTCACGGTGATGGTAACCCATTCGGTGACTGTGGTAGTTGCTAGCCCGTCATTCGATACCATGGTCGAAGTGAACTGGCCGAAGGATGTCACAGTAGGTGATATCGGAGCTAGATCAGAGGTTGACAGGCCAGTTGAGGGGGAGGAGGTCGTGGTTGTCGTCGTCGTCGTCGTCGTCGTGGACGAAGAGACACTTGTAGCCACTGCATCGATTGTATTTGGAGTCGATATGCTGGATGTTTCGGTCGTGGTTGACATGGTAGATTCTGTGGTTGTCGTCGTAGCATCCAAAGAAGAGGTAGTCGTGGAAGACGTGGAGCTTGAATCTGGTATTTGGTTTGCTGGGTCCGGTGAGTGCGAGTTAAGAGGACAGAGGATTTGTTCAGCCAGGCCAGGGCCAGATGTGATAGGATTACAACCAGGCAAAGCTGAAATCATTCCGTGCACCGGCTCGTCAAACACTGATGGCTGTTCGAGGCAGTCACGCGGGAAGTTGGTATCGTCGCTAGGAGCGATGTGAGAACACGCGCTCACCACCCCGCCGTTGTCTGTGTAGAGACAGTCTTGGACTGCACCGTCTAGTACGTCCATGTTCCAGCCGTTCAAGAAATCGCCGTGGAAGCCGTAACCAGTATCATCACCATTGGAGAAGACGAATTTGCCACCGCCCGATTGGTCAACCGCGTTTGTCCAGTAAAGAACCCTATATTTGAAGTAAGCTTCAGACCATCGCGGTACTGGGAGAGTGCTGACTCGAAAAATAGGCCAGGAATAGGAACCGGATGGGAAGGAGGGCAGACACCGTAGTCGATGCCTGACAAGTACGCGACGTGGGCGCTGTTTTCGAGATAAAGATTCACTCCATCCCAGCAGGACTGAAAGTTGATCTGAGCTCGCATGCCATTGACACAGTCGGATCGAAACATATAGTGTTCTTCTGGAATATCGTTAGCTTCGTTAATACAGCGGAAACTTACCCTGTCCAGAGGTTAGCAGCTGATGCTTTACGGTTATGCAGGGGAATACGAACCTATCGGCCACAGGCCTGGTATCCATGTATGTCAAGGTCGTATTGTCGTAGGATCGCTGTCGAGTGTCGCCCGTGATCATCTTGAATCCAGGAGGAAATGGGACCGTGTTGGAAGAGTCGCCCCCGCGACCTCATTGAACAATCAGTAATCAAACGAGTTGGAGGTGGATGCTCTGCGTACCGACGTAATATACTGTCATTCCGTAGTTGGGCACTTCCTCGAACGAGCCGTTTGCGTGAGCAAAGTATAGTTGTGGGGTCCAATAGGCCGATTTGTCCTCCTGGACTTCGCATGTCGAACAGGTCGAGGTTTGGAGAGAATCGAAGGTGGAGAATTGGTTGACATCTGGGCAATCAGCATAATGGTCGACCTTGGAGCTCACTGTACTGACTGCTACCGCCCGCAAACTTGTGCACATGTCCAGACACATCGCCCGGGTTAAGGATGGGATCCACCCGAGAAGTCTGAGAAACGCTGCAGGCCATGCGCCAGTAGGCATGTGAGAGGCTGGGTAGCAACGCGAGGGGCCATAGGGACTGTGAAAAGTTCAAGAACTTCATATTAGAAGAGTAAAGCTGAGCGGAAATTTAGACGTTGATTCAAATGGACAGAAGGGGAAGAAGTTATGTCCACGCAGCAGAGGTGAGCAGCGTCCATATACAATGAACAGAAGAGCCTCTCTGATATCTCCGTAAACAAGCAATAATGACGACGATGTTCAGCAGCACGCTTCGCTCCATATGCACCTCGACCGGCAACAGACTTACCTGGTGGGGAAAACAATGCCAGGATATTCACGAGGCCTTTTGCCTTCGAACTCTAATTCCAAAACAACCTAACCAACAAAAGTAAATGTGGCAGCGGTTGTACGTGAGTAGAGCCTGGATTCCCCGTTGCTGCCGAGGACTGGCTTCCTAGTCGGTGGCAGAGTTGAGCAGTAAGCAGTTATAATCCCCGGCATCTCCAGAGTCGGAGTTCTGGACTCGTAATGACGTTGACAGCAATAGAAGCAAAGAAGACATGATGAACATGCCGAACGCTAGGGATCGACGTGCCAGGTTGGCTTGTTCATGCCCATATCTAACAGATATTTATGTCGCAAGATTGACAGACCTCGATTTGGCCTTTGTGAGCGCACGAGACACCCCGGGTTGGAGCTGCAACTGATGTAAGTCCTTGACAAAGACTGGAGGTGTACGTGGACACGGAATCTTGGTTGAACGAAGCAAGAAATCAAGGAGGAGCAACTAGCGCTGCTGGTGGATTTGGACCCCTTCACCTCGTGCTCGCGTGGGGCTTGCGATGTGGAGTTTGGGTGTCGACACTGGATTACCTCGACGGGAAGAAAGGCCTTCAGATTGCTTGGTCGCTGGGGTGACAATCGAGAAGAAGTCGTCGCCTCTAGAGAGGAGCAAGTGTTTGTTGACAACCTGGCGGCGGCTGAAGAAAAGACTTGAAGTGGCGTTGAACTAAAGTCGGAGGGAGTCCGATGAACCATTCGTGAACCCAAACCTTGGTACAAGATTCGCTCCATGATTGGCTCCAATCAACTCAACCAATTTCCCCAGATCTCGGCTGATTGGGCGACCAGGAGAATCGTCTTGCCGTCTCAAATCAACGCGCGAATTTGGCGAACTGTGCGCAATTGCGATCGCCTTGTGGGAAGCGGAGGGTCCAATCTCTTCGGCTATCACGTCCCCTCTCGCTAGTGAACAAGCAGAAGATCGAGAATGTAGTGAAGACGTCAAGGTGGGGATGGCATGGACCCCCAGAAGTAGGTACGGAGTATATATCCATTATTGTCTATCCAAAACGGCGCAGGCTGACGTGGAAGGCGTCTCCCTTCTTTCTGGGTAGAGCAACTCCTGTAATCGGGTCCATCGCGTCGACAACTGCAGGGTCACCAGGATTACTCCTCACACTCTTAACTTCTTCGTTTACCGGCCAGCCAAAGATGCCAGTGAAGCTAAGCACCTTGGCTCCAGGGGCGTTGTCATCTGGAAGCGTTTCGACAACTGATGTCCAAGTTAGTCGACCAGGGGAGTCCGTTCCACTCTTGACAATAATACTCACCCCAGCCGCTTGCGTATCCACTGCAGGCAGTTTTGGTTGTGTAGAATTTTGCAAGGTGGACGAACGAGTCCTCCAATGCCGATTTCTGCTCTTGACTCGCATCCTCTGGTACTCTGAAGGATTCCACCGCAGTGACAGACGCTTGATAGACATTCGAGGCATCGGAGGTGAAGTTTACGTGCGCTGGCCACTTTCAGTCCTCTTCCCGGCAAGAATAAAGTGGGATCTTGGACGAACTCACTGACAACTGGTGGTCCATTGTCGAAGGTGATCACATTGACCAGGTTTTCAGTCATAGCCGCAAAGTTTTGGCTGTTGACCAGGTCTTGGTGGTGTTTGATGTCCTCCCAGTCTTTCACAGGATTAGCGGCTCCATCTAGACTGCGGAGTAGCTGGACAGGGGTGGATGGAAGGTTGATTTCCACCACAGCTTACCAACCACCACGACGAGGGCACTTGGATCTCCGTCTTGAATACCCTTGACATAAAATTAGGACGTTGGTCATGCTCCAAGTGTCATTCTTACCCAAAAGCCACGAAGAAATCCCGGCTGTTGCTTCACTATGTCCAAAGTCTTCTGAAGGAATTGGGCAGCCGAGGAGCCAGCTTTCCTGGGGTCTTGTCCAGGGATCAGAGAGAACTGCGCAATTTCCGTTGCAATCGGCATGGTGGTATTATTTGCCCAAAGACTGTGTCGATGCAGACTCGATAACCAGCTTTGTCTTTCCGTTTTCCTGCCATATGCTGAAGCTGATCAAAGCAGTCCATTGTGTCGAATATATGTGTGGCATCAAGGCTGCAGCGGACCGCCCTCCGCTGGCCTTGCTTACCTTTTGACAAATCCTTGGGGCCAAGCGATTGAATGCGTACTCGTACTCGTTAGAGGACTTTGGGGACATCGAACATTCGAGGACGTCAACCCAGCAACGTTAGTCCCAACGTGTGCAGTCTTCCAACCCATGGACCTAATCCTCCATCATTTCTCGGTGTTGCACGCTTCTGCAATCAGCTCAAGTCCAAATGTGTTCATCGATGCATCTTTCAATCCTACTAGGCTTGTTGTTTCTCGGCAAAGCTTTAACCAGCATGGCGACTCGTGTCTTTGTCGTTTCCGGCTCTTTTCGCAGCGGCTGAGTCAGCCCTCGCTCTACCCACAGCATGACCGTCGAAGAGCTAGCAACCAGCTAGTAGTGGCGAGTCAGCATTGCCGCCTATACGACGCTTGATGTCGGGGGGAAGCGGGGACTAGTATGACGGGTGATAGGAGGACAGGAGAGCGACACCTCTAGGATAATGTGACAGAAAGCCCAAGAGATAGATTCCGTCCGGGTGGCCTGTTTGCCTTTGAATCATGATGCTAATAAGGGCCAATCGTGGTGCCGATAGAGGCAATGGAGCCAATAGAGACCGACACCAAAACGACCAAGTCTGCTGAGCAAAGACAAAGTTGCACGTGCCTCCACTTCCACTCAGCCAATCCTTTGCGCCGCCCAACAACATCAAGCCATTGCGTCGAACTCATCAAATCCTTTCCCGACATCTTACCTCTACCCGTGAAAGTCGCCTCAATATCCTTTTCTAACACCTGGCTCTCCTAAAGTGCTTTCTCCCGCCGACGGCGAGGGTTGATCGAGTCCCAGTCATCTGGACAACGAGCGCAACGTCGATCTCGCGCTGCCTAGAGTTATTCTCCATCTTACCCCGCGGATCCCCTTGGCAGATCTCGCGGTGCTTCGCAATATAGCGTGCCGTTTTCGATCCTGCTGCATCTCTCACCCTGGACGATATGGATACCTCACCTCCGTCCGACGGTCGCGGCGCAGCCGACGAGAAGCAAAAGCCTGCCGGTCAAAATAGGGTGCGCCGACGAAACCGAATGATCACGTCGTGCCTTGAATGTCGCCGGAGAAAGCTCAAGTGTGATAAGCTGCATCCTTGTACTAATTGCAGCAAGTTCTCGCGCGACTGTCTCTTTCTAGCGCCGGCTCTTGATTCGGTCTCGCAGCAACGTCTCAACGAGATCAAGGAGAAGATGGGATCTCTGGAACGAGTGCTCGAGCAGGACGTCGCGCGCAAGGAAGGGAGGGTCGCCACGAGCTCGTCTCAAAATTCGCAACGGAGAACCTCAGCCGACCTTCCTGGAGGCGAGGACAGCAGCTCTGACAATGAAGCTGCCGTTCCGGACGACGAAAAAGGCCTTGAGCCAACCCCGCTAGCAGTCATCGATGCCGCTTACGAGGACGATGCTAATGATGATGTCCTGGATCTGGGGATCAGAATTGGGAAAATGCGGTAAAGTCTCACCTGCAGCATGATCGTTGAGAGATTAGACGGGCTGACCAACATCAAGGTTAACGGAGCGACTGGGTGGCTTTTTCCGACCCAGACTACATGAAGAGGTAGGTGCAACGATGGCGCGCGTACAAATCTCAGCGATTGACATAGCCTTCAGATGGACATCACCCTCTCAGAACCTACCAGTGATCGTCGCACACCCAATGAGAAGCTCTCTGCCATGCCTCAACTCCCGGACCACGACAGTGACTTCCTGGCTCCCGGGCCTTCGTACATTGCCCCAGGCTCTGGTTTCCTGTTTGGGGATGTTGGCAGCAAGAGGTCCTTGATCAACTTCTTACCGGCAAAAGCTGCGGCCGACATTCTGGTGCGCAACTATTTTGACAACGTGCACTTTATTGCTCGTGTCGTTCACTGGCCAAGCTTCCAGCTGCACTACGACAACTTCTGGACGGCGGTCCTCGCCGGTCTCGAACCCCCTGCGTGGCAACAGTCTATCGTCCTCTCGGTCCTCTTCTCGGCTGTGGCGAGCATGCCTGAGTCAGAGGTCACAGCTATTTTTGCCCGCCCCAAGAGCACGATCCTCGGTAATTTTCAGACCGGCACTGAGGTGGCCCTGAGCAAAGCACAGGTTCTAAGAGCGACTAAAATAGAAACCTTGCAGGCGCTCGTGGTCTACCTTATTCCCATGTGTCGAGACCAGCTCTCCCGTGCTCATTCGGTGATTGTCGGTATGGCGGTTCGTCTCGCGGAATGTATGGGTCTGCATCGCGATCCGGAGGCAATTTATGGCCTGTCGCCAGTCGAGTGTCATGTCCGCCGCATCATATGGTTTCAACTTTGCTTCCTGGATTTCCGCACATGCGAGTCTCAAGGGCCGCGACCGGGCATTAAGCGAGAAGACTATGATACGAAGTTTCCACTCAACATTAATGATGCAGATCTCCTCGTTGCGAGACCTCAGGAGGCCAAGGACAAGTGGACAGACATGACCATGTCACGGATACACTTTGAATGCACCGAAATGCAGCGAGTGGTATGGTACGATCGCATTCGCATCGAGAAGAAAAGGGCGTCATTGACTCACGTCCTGAGCAAAGTGGAATCTTTCCGCAAAGCTATGGAGGCCAAGTACAACCCCATTTTAAATACCGAAGTGCCCATTCAGAGATACGCCCAGTTGCTGATGAACCTTATGGTTCAGCGGATGTATGTCATGATATTGCATCGGTACCTGAACAACTCACGTAACAAAGTGCCCGAGAGGCTCGCAAATCTCACGATGCAGAGCGGACTGCTCGCCATGGAGAATGCTGTCGCGATGGAACGAATGCCAGAACTCAGGAAATGGAAGTGGTACAACGGGGCGTACCAGCAGTGGCACATCGCCTTCTTGCTGTTATCAGTGATTTATGAACAGCCCACACTTCGAGACGCCGAACGGATATGGAATGTGATCGACTTCGTCTTTGAACCGGATCTCTCTCTGTCCCGGACTCAACGAGCCAGGGCCATCATTGCAGCAGTTAGAGATCGAACAGCCGTATATCGAGACCTTCGCAGGATACGGGTTCCTGTCAGTATGAAGGATGGTCTGGATAAACACCGCAAGCGCTCCGAATCGTCGAAAGACCAAGGTCAAATTGATTCAATCGACTCGTCGTTACAACCATCGGCCACCACATCCACACCACCACCGAATGCGGGTAGAGGAGAAATGAGATTCTCGGGCGACCAGTCCTGGAGCTTTGATACGCCTGCAACGATGTATGTTGACGCAAAATACTTACCACCTGCAGATGCTAGCCATCTCTCGCAATTTGTATCCTCACAGATTTCGGCACCACCTTCTGCACGGCAACAATCGCCGCTGCTATCGCAATCCAGGGGACAACCACAACCGCAGCAAACACCGCCGCGGACAGACGCGACTCAGCCTTCGCCAGGTCAGCAGATTGACTTTAATAGCCCCAGCGATTCGGGGACAAATGATTCCTGGCCGCCACTCATCACGACCGATCAAGTCAGCTGGCGAACTGTCTTGGGACCTGGTCCACAGACTTCGCCGCCTCCTCAAGCGATCCAGTCACTTCCTGGAGTGGTACCAAGACAGGGCTCATCCGGGGGTGGCAGTCCCTTTGGGATCAATTCGGGCTTTCCCAGCGATCAGATCAACATCCCTCAATTTCAGAATGGCAATCGAAATGATTCTGTCATGCTCGACATCGATTGGGTAAGTGCGCCCGTCTGCAAACCATTAACTGATACATTTCAATGCAGGGCTGACGTGGAACATTTTGCAGGCCGAATGGGATCAACTTTTCCCGCAAGATAGCAATAATGGCGTTCTTGGACCGTCCCATCACTATGGAATGGGACTGCCATCATAGACAGAAGATCAAGGGATTGGGATGGATTTCATGTGAATGCGTCACGTAGATATACCGACCCGGGAAAAGGTCTGAATTGTTTCTATTTCTCAAAGAGGACATTGTCCAGGCTATTGGTTGGCTGAGTGAGATGTTCGGAGTGGATGAATAAGCCTGCGCTAGCTCCGGCCAAGCTTTTCGGTGCATGATGTCAGTGGCCTCCGCCCGGAATTGCCGGCTCTCACGAACCTGACTGGGAATAGTTTGTCCTGAGGCGCTGGGGGCAATCAGGGCATCCAGGGCCAACATGGCCGGATGATGATGTTATGGTCGCACTTCCGCACTTCACATGCACCGAACTCCCCCACGCGCATCGAATCAACTTGCTGAGATCTCGCTATCTCTTCGAGCTCCCCAATCTGCACAGCAAGGGGAGCTCTTACGGCTGCGGCGGCATACGCGGCTACAATGAGCCATATCGAGACAGCTTGCTTCCCTTATTTACTTTCGGGCTTTTCCTGACGTCCTCTGTGTGCAGCTCTTGTTCCTCCGTCTTCCATTTTCTCGCGACTTGTAAGAAGCAGTCAAGAGTCAATTCCTGAATCTCCTCTCACCGCCTATTTCTCTTGCTGTTGGGCTTTCTAGTTTGGTATCCAACTTTCACCTTGTCTTTATTATTGACGTTGCCGCACGTGCTCAGAGGTAGAACCAGGAACTCAACTAAAGCAATTTACCTGAAGAAGATCGCTTCTTAATATATAAGGATTTCCGTCCATACCCTCGAAATTCCATCCTAAGAGTCAAGTCAATTGACCACAATGGCGACACAAACGTCCCTCAAGCCACCCTCTGCCGAGGTGCTCAAGAAGTATCCATTTGGAAAGATCGAACCGAATTCAGTACGTACTCTCCGTCGAGTGACCTTTGTGATGGCCGAGTCAACGTCAACACGTTATTTGAGCTCAGTGGTGGTGTGCCTGCAGCCTCAGATTCAGACTCTGAGACATCCGGCCTGCCCAGATTTATTGCCTTGGTCCCTACCTTGAGATAGAGAAGAAACTAACCGCTCTCTTACCAGACCAAATACTTTGCCGCATGCATGTTCGGTGGTGTCGTGGCATGCGGACCTACACACACTCTTGTCACCCCTCTTGACTTGGTCAAGACCCGCCGTCAAGTCGATCCGAAGATCTACAAATCAAACCTTCAAGGATGGAGTTCTATTTATGCAAAAGAAGGAGTCCGTGGAGTGTTCTTTGGCTGGACTCCCACGTTCGTTGGCTACTCCTTCCAGGGTCTTGGGAAATACGGCTTTTACGAAATCTTTAAGCATCTGTACGGCGACAACATGTTCCCCAACAGCAACCGCACTCTGGTCTACCTGGGTGCCAGCGCCTCGGCAGAATTCATTGCCGACATGCTCTTGTGTCCATGGGAGGCCATCAAAGTCCGCATGCAAACGACACTGCCTCCCTATGCGAACAACCTGAGGGAGGGCTGGACCAAAATCGTCGACAAGGAGGGCATTGCCGGCTTGTACAAGGGCCTTTACCCCCTTTGGGGCCGCCAAATCCCGTACACGATGTGCAAGTTTGCGACCTTTGAAGAGACTGTCAAGCTCATCTATCGACAACTCGGCAAGCCCAAGGAGAGCTACAACAGCCTACAACAGACAGGTGTGAGTTTCCTGGCTGGTTATATTGCCGGTATTGCCTGTGCCATTGTCAGCCATCCTGCCGATGTCATGGTCAGCAAGCTGAACTCGGATCGTCAACGTGTGTCCTGCCAATCCCCCGTGTTATTGTGACTTTGTACTCACTCATTCTAGCTGGTGAATCTGCGGGGAAAGCCATGAGCCGTATCTACGGCAACATTGGGTTCATGGGCCTCTGGAACGGTCTACCAGTCAGAATCGTCATGATTGGAACGTTGACCGGGTTCCAATGGCTGATGTATGTTTTGTCCCAGTCCCTCAAATTGACTACATGTTGGTCGGAGAAGAGACAAGCTAACTGGTGTTACAGCTACGACTCCTTCAAAGTCTGGCTCGGTCTGCCCACCACTGGCGGTCACTAGAATATCAGACGTGCGACCTTTCGAGGGCAGCATCACCGATTCGACTCCGCTATGCAAAAATGACCTAATCCATTCGATTCCACGACCCCGAGCGCGACAGCTCTGCGCGGACTCTGCCAACGAATGATGCCCCGAACCATGCCTCGGCGAAGTGATATTTATGACCATGTCCAGACCTTTCTTGCCTCGAGAACCTTGACTGCTTACCTCCTTCGTGAAGTCTTTTCTTCAGAATAACCCGCCTTTATCACAGTGCAGAAACCGCTCGCAGAGTCGTTCCAGGGGAGATTTTTACGCCTGCGGACGGCAAAAATACAAGGTGCTTGCTCTGACGCGAGAGATTACGGCACCACCCCGAGGGGGGTGTAAGGTCAGAGTTCCTGGAGACGAGGACGACGAGGACGAGGGTCACGACCATTAAGAACAAGACGAAGGGGTGACATCAGATCTCCAGGAGACCTAAGCGCAATTTACGACCCCCTCATTATTCACCGCCCTTGCATCACAAAAGTGAGCTCGCCTCTTACCTATCGCCTCACCCACACTCTGGACTCTTCCAACCTCGCTCGTCTCCGACTCTATAATAGAGGTGGTTTAAAGGCACAATACACAGTCGCAAGACACGGGAGGCGTCCTGGCTTTTATTCCTCTTGGAGGGTCTGCGGGAAAGATGGGGAGAGACAGATACCCCATCCCGCTCGAGTCTCAAATAACATCAGATTTTACTGCGTATGACTAGCTGGTAGGTAGGTAGGTAGGTAGGTAGGTAGGCACTGTATCTAGTTAGAACAACTATGCACAAGCACCGAGACCTCAAGTCCCATTTAAAGAAGTCGTCGGGAAGATGAGTACATGGAAATAGTACATGCCAATCCCTATATCCAGCAAGGCAATGAATTCTCTCTCTCACTCTCACTGATCCATGACATTCTGATCCAAGTATAACACCTCTGAATACGTTCCGCCGTGGGATACTAGTTAGGTACATAGTACATACGTACCTTCACAGGTACCTCGCACAGAGGACTTGTATGCGCATACATATCTAGTACGTTCCCAGTGGTGTCGGCGTGAACGCGGCACGGGGATTTTCAATGCAACAAGACTGAATGTGTTCCATAATATGGATTTGCTCTTAGCCTGCTGAAGATTTTCCTAATTGACCAGTCGTCGACATGGAGCGAGAGAAGAACGAGATAGGGATGGGGCGTCATGGATTTACTCCATTCACCCGCTGCGCCCAATATGTATAACAGAAATAATGTATATCATTTCAACTTTGCCGTTTCAATGCAATACGGGCGCTAGAGACCCTGCCACTGGGGAATGCCCTTTCCTTCCTTTTTCAAGCATATCAGCTGACCAATGCACTTCTCGTTCAACATCAATATGAGTAATATCCATAATGATAGATTCATGCCATCCATACCTCAGGCTTCCCTGCACCGATCGCCATGCTCTAGAATGCGAATAGGCCTTTCAGGAGGATCTCCATACTGCCAGATCGATGCGCAAAAATGAGGGTTCCAAACACCACTTTCCACGGGACAATTATCACCACCAGATCTTTACCGAAGAACCCTCCACCTCCTTTTCTCATTTTTGGGATCCCAACTTTGACTCCGAGGTCGCTTGTAGGGTTTACTGTGGCTTGCCCACAGGTGTCTCTTTCATGTATGGGTAATCAGTTGAGCTTGCCTCTTCGTGGACGACATCATCTTTTGACATGTGGCATCATTCGTCGTGCTATTCGTTCGGAACGTCTCGGTGTGTTTGATGCGGCGTTGCGTCCCTGATTGGCGATAGACTCCTATATGTCGCTCATGGTCGCATCGCCGTCACCGATCTCCTTGTGGAATCGACTTGATTCTTCTCCCTCATCTACCAACGGTGCATGTTCGGGCATGCTCAGAGGACTCTCCGACCTTCGATCCGAGAGGTCGTCTGGTGGCGAAAAGGACCATACCTACAAAGAAGGTTAGTAATATGCCTGAATGACCAGCAACCCCTCGTGACGCCTACCTCCATGACAGTTCGGTTCGACCGGCTCGCCATGATGACGGCCTTTTCCTCCTCAAAAGCCACTCTCCACACAGCCTCGGCAGGTTGACTGAGCTCACGGACAAGTTGACCAGTCTCGACGCTCCAGACTTTTACGCGCCCGTCGCTACCACCGCTCAAAATCCGATTGTCGTCAAACTGCAAACTCGTAACACTATTATCATGTGCAGCAAGACGATGAATAGGCGAGTTGGTCTTTAATGACCATACGCGAACGGAACCGTCGGAGCCACCTATATAGTAGATTTAGCAATCTGTCTCAGTGTAACCTGACGTGTCTGGGGGGTGATGAGCTTACCTGTAACTAGAGTGTCGCCACGAAGCTGCAGTTGCCCAACTAGGGATGTGTGGCCCTGCAAAATGGCTGTGCACATTCCGGTCTTTGGATCCCATATTCTGACGCTGGTATCCAGCGAGCCAGTGGCACAGCGGTTGCCGTCAAAGGCAATGGCGTAAATTTGGCTGAAATGTCCAGTGAGCGTCCGAAGACAGCGGCCTTCCGATATGCTCCAGACTCGGGCTGTGGTATCGTAGGACCCGGAAATCACGAGATCGCCATGGATGGCCAAGCACCGAACACTGGCTTGGTGCCCAACCAGCACATTCTTGCAGACGCCAGACTGCAAATCCCAGATCCGCAGCGTTGTGTCTCGGGAGCCAGAAATGGCTGTGTTGGCATCAGACATTTTTAAACACCTCACTGTCGAAGTGTGGCCCCTTAAGACGTGAATGCTCCTGCCGGTCTTCATGTCCCATACCCTCACGTCACGGTCGCAGCCTCCAGATACTAGAATATCGTCCCAGGGAACCATTGCCCACACACCCATGACATGGCCTTTTAGTGTTTTTTGATGTTCACCCACTGTATTGAAGACATGAATTTTGGCATTATCCATAGCCACCACAATATACTTGTCCGTCAGATGCAGGCTAGTGACCACACCTTGATCTGGGGTGATGTGCTTGATAATGGGTTCACCGCCTTTCCTCCAAGCCGCTTCAATCATGTATTTGTGACGGAAATGAGAATAATGAGATTGTGACACTCGCTTCCTAGCACGAGGGCTGGTTGACAGAGCATCATGTTTAGGTAACGTCAGGTTGGGTGCGCTGCTTGAGGGGCCGACCATGGACCCATCGACGCTTCGTTTGGGAGAGCGACTATTGAATGTGTAGGGGCCTTGGCTCGCTTGAGAGGGTGATGGTGAATCCAGGTCGTCGCTTGGGCCTGAGGAGGACGTTCTTCGCCAGGCATGCTTGTCGCACATGATCTTCCAAAGCATATCGTCGTTCAAGAGTTTGTGCCATCGATGTGAGACTTGAGAGGCTCGCGCCAGGCTAAGAGGATCGTCGATATATGACAGTACCTGTTATTGTGTCAGTTGATACATTCTTCGCAAACAGAAGTAACACATACCCTTAAGCAGAGCTCATCTGGGAGATGTTCAAAAGGATCTTTCTTCAGTCTCGGCGACACAAAATTGTGAACAAAGGAAAGCAAGTGGCTGTCACACATGTTGAGTAATTCGGCCAAGTATCTCTCTCGTTCTGCAGCGTTCAGGTTGGAGAAATGACCCCTGGCATCCCGTAGAAACGAATCCTCATTTTCGCCCGCACAAGTCCAACTAGGAGCCCGCTGATAAGGTGTAGGTGAGGGCGCTGGTGTGGGAGGAGAGGCGGGAGCCGACGGCAATATGCTCAAGGGCATGCCTGACTTGTTCGAGGTGGACAGTCGCTTTGGACGCGGTTGCGACACACCGTGCCGTGGAGGCCTCGACGACCGAAGGGGGTCTATCTGAGGGTTGTTGCCGTGGGGTGCCGTGAATGGAAAGTCATGGTCTTGGTCCAAAGACTCTGGTCTTGAGTTACTGTAAACTCGATTTGCAAGTTGATTCGGGTCGATCGTAACAGATCTGGAGGGCCTCGGCGACAGAGGTCGGTCTATAGACATAGAGCGATGGTCATCATCCAGGTCCATCTCTTTCAAATCCACGCAGGCCGGTTCGTGGAGGGTGACGTTTGGCGACAGCACCTGCTCCGTCTGACCACACAAGTCAAGAATCTGCGGAAAGGGCACAACGAAGGAAGCAGCGAAAGGCTGGCTGTCGGATAGACAATGAGCGGACTCGTCTTCGAGGCTATATTATAAATCTCTCCTGATCATGCCATGTCAGCGTCAAGGTAGAGGGCAACGGAGTGGGACGACTCGAGCTGCAGGTGTATCGTTGGCAGAAAAGCGCTTATGACATGCGAGGCAGGGTCTAGCCCAGGAGAGGAATGAACCGGACAATATGCAGATCCGAGGGAAAGGGAGGGAGGTGGCGGCGAGATCGAGAGGAGGCGTGAGAGGCTGGGTCTTGGGGTTTTTGTAAGCAAGGCCGGGTCCCGGGCTGGAGCTTAAAGGAAGCCAAGCTGGGTTCTTGCGATCTTGATATCGAAAAGAATGTGATATCTCTGGGCTGTTCGGTTTTGCGGTTTGTGGGTAGGAGGAGGATTCGGGGACTCAGAGGTGATGGGAGAGGTCAGATTCGTCAGGTTCGTCAGGTACGGAGACCCGAGGGGAGAGAGGGAGAAGAGGCGTGAGAGGCTGAAATGTTGGCAGGAGGAGCAACATGCAGCAAGGAAACAAGGAGTGCAGAAGTAGCCCACGCGCCCCGATGACTAGCCTGTCGTCCGCCGGGACAAATTGGCCTCTCGGGGCGGGGTCCGGGCTGGAAGTGGTGCCTGAACCTTGCACTGTTTTCCAAAGTGCATGCCTAACATGCCTAACATGTCCATGGCTGCCCAGTCCAAGCCAGTGTGGTTCGACTTTGGCCACTGACTATTCGTCAAATGATCGTCGAGTCTAGATTCTGTTCAGAGACTGCGCTTAGATGCTAGTCTGGAATTGCGCCCTCCGTCCTACATACCAAATCATATACCGAGGAAAGAGGAGACCCCTCCAAGCAGGCACTGTACAGAGCACGAGGTGAATCACGCCGTTTCCAATATTGAATGCATGGTGAGTGGACAATCATGAGTCGGTTGTCTTTGTCACCAACAATGATATCTGACCAGAGCACAGACCGACAAATACGACACGCTGAGCAGTATAAACACACACTATCAAGTACAAAGGTCAAAGAATTTGACTCCTGCCGCAGAGACAATCCTGTCTTTGATGGCTGAACCTCAAATGCTGACCATGTTTAAACAGTGACACTCAAACTCCCAGGTCTCCGCTTGGGTTCCAAATCCGGGTATCTCGAAGATCCGGGGTTTCAGGGGGGGTCGTGTTTGTTCTGATGACCTTGGTTCAGGGGAGTAACTCAAGGAATTAGATTTCAGTGACACGACCGATGGAGCCCCATGTTCTGATGATGTCGCTTCCATCCGCGGACAAGGTGCTCCTAACCTCGACTCATCAGATCGCCACCCCAGTCACTCGCCTGCTCTAGAAATTGATACCAAGCTATACCAACAATGCCGTTCTCGTATCAAGACAAATGCGCTCTGTGTCAATGAGCATGCCCAACCTGTAAAAACAATGGCAGAATCATTCCGAAGCAAGCTGCTCCAAGATCTTTCCAAGACGGCTTGGGCTCACTCGGCGTGCTTTCCCGCCCATCAATGTAGCCATTTGCGTTTCCATTCATCCCCTCATGGAGCGAGCCAGAGCTCTCTTGCATCGCATGCATGGCCACGTAAAGAAACGTCCCTGCAGAGAACAGCAACAGCATCCCCGTCCACCACCTGGTAGTCTGTGCACTTTGACTCTGGCCACCGCCAAGTAGGTGGGCAAGCAACCACGTAAAGATCGCTCCAGTTGGTGCAGCCAGACTAAAGAGGATCAGATGCCCTCGGGCTGTTCTCTTGGACAGCCCCTGCTTGACAAGGACGGACGTCAGCCCAAACGCCGCTGGTGCCTTGTGAATCATGATCGCAAAGAATATCACAAAGCTCAGTCCAGATGTCGTTGCAGTTGAAGATGCTCCCAGGGCTATTCCATCAGCAGCTGCATGAATAACCAGACCTATGGTAGTTGCGAAGCTCCGTTGCTGGACGTGGCGCCCTTCAGTCGAGTCTATGAAGGAGTCCGATTCTTCGTCGCGATCCAAAGATGTAGTGAAGTTGAATCTGCGGCCCAGATTGTTCAAGGCAATATGATGTGTCCTCGACTTTTGTTTTGCCGGTTGACTGTATTGTGGTACTTTGTCAACCAAGTACATGAGCATGAATCCAGCCAACAACGCAACTCCGATCCATGCATGGTGAGATTCCTTATGTACCTCTTCCTCCTCCTCTTCCCCGCTGCTATAGTCTTTGTCGGCCTGCGTTTCTCCCTTTCCGTCAACATTCATGACACCAACCACCCCAGGTTTTGTAGGAGTACGTGGTGGCGCCTCCAGATCCAGATCGGACGGAAGGACAGGGCCGGGAACATCGAAGGGACTCAAATCGGCAGGTTCTCGCGCTCGGATCTCGTGAAGCGGTTGAGCTGCAACAGACTGGCTCCATCGAATGTCTATCTCGCGCGCATGTACATGCCTTTTGAGTTGCGCATGCGCGTGTCCGACTTCAGAGGCACTGTAAAGAGTCTCCACCCCTTCAGGGATAATGACAACCAGTGACGTACCAACTAGTACACCCATACCGATTGTTGATATGAAGCGTAGTTTTGGTTGTGAGAGGCCCAATGAGAGTGGCAAGATGCCTGCAAGGAAAGATGCCACAGCCATGACAATGCACAGGCTGAGCAAAGTGAACAACCCGTCCATTGTCGCAGGCAACGGAGACGAGGGTCAAGCCTAGTGTTGTCGTGTTGCGCCCAGCTTAACAGATAGCAAACTGCAGAGTGGTCGAGGGGAGCATATTGCTTGGCTTCGAGGTCAATCTTGGAGATGTATTGTTCGGTGTATAAGACGATTTGGCCGCTGTAGCGGTTGTAGACGCATTGAGAATGTTGGTCAAGCGTCTGACCTCCTGAGAGCGCAGGCATAACGACGATTATTATCCCTTTTCGCGATGTCCCGATAAGAAGACCAAGTCACCTTATCACCACGTGCCTTGGACATCAGGCTGGCAGCGACGAGGCTGGCTCTTAGGCTTGCACACTCACAACCTCACTAACTCAACGCAAGGATGTACTCATGCTACTGTACTAATATACATATGTAGGCGACTTCATGGTTTGCACCTGTTCATATCTTCTTAGAATGTCGAGCCAGGAAATTGGCACTGCTTCTGCATGGCGTTCTCAGCGCTGCCTGTATCTCACTTCTGCTCCCTTCATCTGGTCACCAGAAGAGTCCCCAGCGATGCGTCCTCAAATCTCAGTACTATGCATCTTCTCCTGTTCAAAGTCATCATGATGACAGTGAATTCTATGATATCACATCAATCCATTATGCTTGGTCTCTGTGTGGACGCGACAGCGCTGCGGCCCAACAACTGCTGGACCAATGGAGACGCATTGCATTGACGCTGGCGACATCGCGAGTATTTGTATGGAGGACCACAATTGTTGTCCTTCTTGGCCAGATATCCAAATGAGTCGTCCATGTCGAGAATTGAATCGTTTGGAACTGTGGTGGAATTATACCGAGTATTGTGGACAGCTCGCAATCGTGAATCTATGAAGAGTTCTGTTCACTCAAGGTTGGCGAAGGCTGAAGATTGCACGCTCTGCGTGAAGCTGTATTGTGCCGTTCACCAGAACCAGTTTCGTTCTGGGGGCAGATAGAGAACCTGAAAGAGTCCACCTGCTCTCCAGCTGCGCCACACCTCGCTCTCGCGAAATCTGGCCGAAGTCAGGACATGGCAGACCTGGCCTTCCTCTTGTCTCGACCTGTTCCCGAATATCTGCCGCGTGTTCGATATCGCGTTGATCACTTTCTTCTTGTATTATACTTCCATTCGACCACAACAGACAAGGGTTAACGAGACTTCCACTGGCCGCTTTGTTGCTACTTTGCTCGTTGAAACTTGTAGGCTCGCTGCTGACAGTCACGGGTGGATATCAGCCGCTTGAGGTGCTGTGCGATCGATGTATGGTAAGTAGTCTGACGAGATCGGACCTTTTCTGGTAAGGGGCCAGGAGAGATTTCTTTAGACAATCCGTCTCCTACAGGTATGGTAGGTTCACGAGATTCTTGGGATATGTCAATCCGGTAGTTGGCGCCATCCGCGAAAAATGCATCAAGGAACCAAGTGCGACCACTTCTTCTCTGACTCATTCGATGAACTGTTCTCTCGCATCGTGATCGGAATACTGGCGGGAGTATTGGACTCATTTGTGGCTTGAAGCTGTAACCAAACTTCTGGTCGACTTCCTCGTCTCTGCATCTGATGCGATCTACGCCTTCTGATCATTCTGACACAGCCATAGATGGTCGGGATGTTGGCCACGAAACAGGAAGCAGCTATTTGCACAGAGGCGAAGAAGCTGCGCACTGGTTGGTACGATTGTTCGGCATAGATATAACCAATGCGAACCAGTGTTATGACGATGCAGAAAACCCCTAGACAGCATAAAATCCCAACTCTAAGCTGTTCACCAAGGTTCCGCTGGCGAACTGCAGCGAGGAGCGGGTAAGATATTGCCAACAAGAGTAGATCCAGGACAATGTTTGAAATTCCTTGGACAAGCAGCTGAATATACGCTTTGATGCATGTTCCCGGGTTGGGTTTGACCTGCCAATACAGACGAAATGGTTGACACTCGAGAAAAGTTGCCAGGACCACACCGACATAGGTGATAGGAATGGCAATCCAGCAGATTCGAATGAGCCTGGTGGTCCATTTTGCCCTGATTTCGAAAATTCGAGAATAGAACAGCAACAGCAAGGAACTCTGCAGCCAGCAGATGGTGGTGATCAAGAGTCGTGCGATAAGAGATAAAATGCTTCCGGCCTTGAGATTTTGAAGGTCCTTGGAGTCGAAATATGTGGATTTGCCATTCAGAGCATCGTTCGAGGTCCCGAAAGTAAGAACGTACTGGTTCACAACAAGGCGAACCACGACTGTGACGACCGAAGCGACACAGACGGCAGTGCTGCGGTCAAACGATCCCTGGTGTATTCTCGCTGCGATGATGCGGGCAACCAAGATCACCAACGAGAAACCTGCACAGACCCATCCTCCGATTTTGGCTTCTTCAGAAGAGACAAGCATTATAAGTCACATAGCCAACCCCGGAAACATTTGTTTGACACAATGTAATCTTAATAGGTGGTGGAACAAGATGCATGTTGAACTTGTGATTCGAAAGGTGTCTGCTGGAATGTCAAAGGTGTGTCCATGACTGCCTCGAAGAAGCCAAAAACGGTGTATGTGTGTGTTGTGTGCGTGTCGGGAGATATGTATGTACCGAGGACTCGTCAGTGGAGTGAGTTGATGAGCAGTTCCCAAGAAGAGGGAGGCGGGTAAACGGGAGACCCAGAACATCCAAAGTGCTGACCACCAAAACCCGGAACAAGGGGATGAGTGGGACTTATCTGGCCGACTCGACAGATACTGCTAGTGATGGCTCCAAACAACCATCCCTAATGATCCTTTCCGGCCTCTAAGGACTAAGTCCAAGCTAGCCCCCAGGCTAGCGGGGGTGCCATCTCAGAAACCCCGGGCACTCACCATTCAACCCTTACCGATGCGTGTGATGCTTGCACGGCTTCTCGCCTACCCCCTTCCCCCACAGTACCGAGAAATATCTTTCCAAGAGCCGCGCTTTGGACAGTGATGCTTCCCCAATCATGGCGACAAATAACTATGCTTCCTCGACGGGGGATGTGACTTGCGGGTCTCTCTGCTGGGAGCAAAGGTCTCTGTGGTTATCCGGATTGATCGGCATTGCTCTTTGGCAGAACAGCCACACAGACAGGAAAGGACACTAAAGTCGGAAATACCAGGAAACAAATTCACGAGGCCGCGTTTGAAGGACTGAAATGGTTATGGGCTGCATTCTCTAGGATTGGGTGGTGGGAAAGCTCACATAATCGCTAGATGCTTCAGAGTTCGTTGCAGAAAAAAACATCTCTGGTCACAACCGCCTCGCTAGAGAACATCCCACCAATGCGGTCTCTGAGAACTCCGTAGGCTGCAGAAACGAGAAAGCTTCAGTACGAGTTCTCTTCGCTTCGTCACTACCTTTGTCCTGTGGAGGTGGGAAACTCGGAAACTTGAGGTTAAGACATCGCAGGGCATGCCATCTAGGCTGAATGCCGGCATGGCAATGAAGCCAAATGAAGGAGTTGTCGACGCAGGGGGTAGTTTGTGCAACCTGAATACGAGACTGCTAGCAGAAAGTGTCCCAGCATTGCAAAGTCTTGAGACCAACTGGCAGGCAAATGTCGCACTACTGACTTACAATACGAGGACGGGGTTTGGTAGCTGTTGTTCGTGGCCCATCTTCCGGATCGACAGGGAGGAGTTTTAGATGAAAGAGGCACACAAGCGAGGTTGATGTGCATACATGGATACAGAACCACGGTGGACAGTATCGAGAAGTCTGGAGATCTCGATCTGATTACCAGGCTGCCAGGGTTGCGCAGGATGTTTGTGTGTACTCCGCAGGCAAGGACAATTCAGATACAAGAGTTGAAAGTCAGCCAGCTGCGAATGTTTTATTGGGTGTAAGAATAATAGCTTGCAGTCTCTCAGTGTCCATTGTGTCGGAACGGAGTTCTGGCAGAAATGACCGTCTGACCGTTTCTAATTAGTTTTAGAACGAACGACGCGTTGCTTGAGAAGCGTGCTGGCGTGTTCGCGACAGCCAAAATCTACATCAATGCGCCACACCTTGGTAAAGAAATCGTCACTGGCAGTTCATCCCATTTTCATGTCTGTTTGTCGCTCTTCCTGGGACAGAACTCGCTAGTCTCATCGTTGCTTCAGAATCGCATCGTACAACTACGCGCCTGAGATGAATTAGAAGCGCACTCCGGAACATCTCCAGTATGGCTGCGCCTTCCGAGGAATGTGAGTGTTGCGCTGCGCTACAGAAAGATCTCTGCTAATCGAATCAAAGTCTCGGTGAACGCAAATGAAGCTGTTCGCATCTCCATCGTCCAACCCAGCGCGAACGACAAGCTCATCACTCGGCACGAATTTCATCCCAAATTCACCTATCCCATCGTTGGAGAGGCAGAGCAGATCTTCGGTTACAAAGGGCTGGACATCGACATTCAATTCGCAGCTCATGATTTGCGACCACATATCGACATTTCCTACCAAAAGAAGTTTAGCACGATCGGTACTACAAGCGCCCTCGATCTGAACAAAACTTTCAGCAACTTCCTACCCCCGACGGCATTTGAACAAGGGTTTGAGTCAGAGCTGCTCAGCGACTCGAAAGCGGCACAATGGACACCTCCAGGTGTATGCGTAAAGAAGTACACAAGAGGCGGAGAGAACTATGAGGTGTGGGCTGGCTCATTACTAGACCTCCCAATGAGAACCCTGGTCGACAATATCCAAATATTCATTGTCTTCTTTATTGAAGGTGGACAGTTCATCAATTTGGAGGATGTCGACTGGACCTTGGATCGATGGAGGGTCTATCTCACCTACCACAAGGCATCACAGCCCCCGGCACCCAGGGGATCTCCATATTCGTTTGTTGGCTATGCAACGACCTACCGCTTCTACAAGTTCCAGAAACCGTCAAAGGATCATAAGCCCTTCTCGTTCCCGCCGTCAGAAATTATTACGCCTAATACTCTTCCGTCGCGGCTTCGAATATCACAATTCCTGATCACACCACCTTTCCAAAGCTCTGGTCACGGCTCAGCTCTTTATCAGGCCATATACAACGAGGTTATGGCAGATCCGACTGTTTTGGAATTAACAGTTGAGGATCCAAGCGAGGAATTCGACAAACTACGCGACATGAATGACTTTGACATTCTAGAACCGCAGTTCAAAGCAGTCAATCTCAAGATACATACGTCACCTTTTGCCAGCCAGGAACGAGGACGTTTGAAACGCATACCGACTGCCAAATTGCTTCCTCTAGATGAGCTCCAGGCTATTCGATCCAAAAATAAGATTGCAAGTCGCCAATTCGCCAGGATGGTCGAGATGTATCTTCTGGCCCAAATCCCATATTCACATCGTGCAGCCGGTGGTGCCTCCCTCACTAGCCTCATGGTTAGAGGTGCCAGAGCTCCCAATCCGGACGACCGCACATATTATTGGTGGCGACTGTTACTGAAACAGCGTATCATCAAGAAGAATAAGGATCTGCTCCAACAAATCCCTTTGGAAGAGCGACTGCCCCAAATCGAGGATAGTGCGCGTGCTCAGGAAGATGAATATGAAGGCCTCATTCTTTCGTATGCACTCCGAAAGGAGAGAGAAGCTGATCGGCCTGAAAATGGAGAGTCATCAGCCGTCATGCGCAAGAGAAGGGTGATTGAGGACGACGAGGACGAAGAGTCGTCGAGCGGGGAAGCCTCCCGGTCTAAAAGACCCAAAGTCTAAGGCCACTTTCTCGTCATTCTTCCTTTGCGCTTGTCGACTGTGCGTATTCGAGCAGTTTGGACGGCTCATGTTTGCCCTTCAGGACGCCGCCGCATATTTCAATGGCAAGTTTGATTGTACTCAGTCGCGGTAACCGACCCCAAGACTTTTGGGCCAGAGAAGGAGGATGAGGATAACCATCACACGGTGACACAGAGCACCTTGGGCGAACAGGTGAATTCTCAGGTAGCGAGCGCTCGATGATAACAGACAAACTGAAGACGTTCTTCAGCTTCTTCACCAGCAATGACATGCTCGTCTTCACCCAGAAATGCACCCTCTTCCCACATTTTGTCTAATTCCTGATCGTCATCACCCGTAACAGCCCAGACACTTTCGCGTAGTCGTTTGTTCCGCTCTCTGTCCTCTTCAATCCGCTGCTCGATTGCCCGCTTATCCATCCTCGACACGCCATTTGGCTTGCTTGAACGTTCTGCTCCGGTCCGAGGTGTTGGCTTCTGAGGACCGTCGCCTGCGCCACCCTCGGCAGCAGTCACATCCATTGCATCCTTGTCGGCTGCTGCTTCGGGCTCGCCATCCTCGCCTCCGAGGAGGTTCCCCAGCTTCTCCTCCTTGTCCTTGAGTTCGCTCTCGATCGTGCCGATGACTTGGGCGGAGAGGACGCCCTTCTCGCTTAGTCTCGTGACGACGCGCCTCACGACCTTGACGTTGGCGCCGCTCTGCGCGACCGCGTCCACGATCCGCGCAATGTCCCTCTTGACCATCTCAACGTAGGCTTCGTGGCCGCCCTCCTTCATGTTGATGTCGGCGTGGTGTTCGAGAAAGTACATGATGTTGGCGCGGTTGTTCATGTTGGTGTTGCCCCGCTCGAGGTTCTCAAGGATGCACGAGTGCAGGTCCTCGTCCATGTCCCGGTGTTTGAGGGCGTAGTGCGCCGTCTTTATAGCCGCCGTGGCGGATGCGGAGAGGTGCGTGAGGAGATTCGTGAAGCGCATGCGCACTTCGAACGGGTCGGCCATGGTGGGCAAAATCTGCGAATGCTGTCCTAGCCGCTGTATATGCGTAGAAAGGGAAGCGATCGATCGCGGCGCAGGAGAACACGGGGAGGCGTTTGACTCAGGAAGAAAAATGTTTATGCAAGTCCCAAAGGTGGTGGTGGGTGGTTCACATGGTCCGCTTTTCGGGTCGGGGAAGCGCAAACACAGCGAGTACAAGTTCGCCGCACATGGGATCGTCCACCTGTTACCAGTGCTGGTGAGGTAAAAGGCGATGTTCCTTGTCAAAAGCGGAACTTCGACCTGGTGTAAACTACGCGAAACAGCAATGCGGTTGAACTTCGTGCGGGAATACTTGCAGAGGGTTGGAGAGACTCGTGGCAACAGACAAATCTCGTGCCCATTGGTGTGCCTTGCAGACGGATTTGGCCGATTTATTCTTGTCTTGAAGGGTCCTCTCCGCTGGTGCCACTTCCGCCCTTCGAGGAAAAAAAAAGTTATATCCAGCAGTCATATCTTCCCCGCATTCTCTCTCAGCAAGACACCGATCGTGCAAGACTCATTTTGGACTCGCCTAATATAACAGTATTACTGGTGTGCATATTTTCTTTCAGAGGACAGTAATCTCCTATTATCAGATCAAAGACCTCGTGCATCATGTCCGGTGTACTGCGCGTGCCCAACGGCATCAATAGTGACCCTTCCGGGGGGATGACACTGACAATTCTCGGATGTGGTGAGTATTTTGCGTGAGCAACAGCTCCTTCAACCACTGCTTCTCTGCTAGATATGTTTACTAACTAAAGGTTGGTGACAAGGCACTCTCGGTATCGCCATCCTCAGTGGGATCCTCTCCTCCCTCTCCGAATCCTCTGCCTCACATGCTCCATCTCCTGCATATCCCGACTCCGGCACCGCGACTCCCACCACCGAATCCCCTCCGCCGCGTACACCGACAAACTTCATCGCCTGTGTGCGCCGTCCTGAATCGGCAAAGCGCGTCAGAGTTGCGGTTCAATCGTACCGGCCGAGTGTGACGATCCTGCAGAACGAAAACGTCAAGGGGACGCAGAACGCTGATGTGGTTATACTGGGATGTAAGCCATATATGGTCGCCGACCTTCTGCGCGAGGAAGGGGTGAAAGAAGCCCTCGCCGGGAAGCTTCTGATCTCAATCTGTGCTGGTGTTCCCGTCGAACAAATCGGTCGGGTCCTTTACGGCGAGTCATATCCAGAGGGCATCCCCGACAACGCCTGCCGGATAGTAAGAGTCATGCCCAACACCGCCGCGATTGTGCGCGAGTCCATGACCGTCATCGCCAACTCCACCCCTCCCTTACCTACCGAGCTATCGTCGATAGTTGAGTGGATCTTCACGCGGATCGGCCGAGTCGTGCACCTTCCACCGGGAATGATGGACGTTTCCACCGCCTTGTGCGGTTCTGGGCCCGCATTCCTCGCACTGATGCTTGAGTCTCTTGCAGACGGCGCCGTCGCAATGGGCCTCCCTCGTGCAGAGGCTCAACTCATGGCTGCGCAGACGATGCGAGGGACGGCAGGGATGGTCCTGTCCGGGGAACATCCTGCGCTGGTGAGGGAAAAGGTGTCCACCCCCGGAGGTTGCACGATCGGTGGGTTGTTGGTGTTGGAGGAGGGCAGGGTCCGAGGAACAGTGGCAAGGAGTGTCCGAGAGGCAACAGTCGTTGCAGCGCAGCTGGGTAAGGGCGTTAGTGGCGTCAATGGGACGAGATTTGAGAGGCAATAGAAGAGGTCAACAGTGGAACATCTTGGACAGAATCATTTGGGCATGCTAGGTAAGCTTGGGGTAAGCTACGGAATCACGAACATTTTGCGAAGTACAACAACAGCGAACTTGACGCATCATGACATGGCAAAGTGTTCTGCTCTTTACGATGTCAGGCTGTCAATGCGCAGGACGAGCGGGGGTCGAAAAGTTTGGCACATATTCCTGTATATGACGAGCAGACAGCCCAACTCCAGCAGAGCCCTTGCACCTCACAAGGCGAATGAAACGATCTGGCTTCTGGAGTGGCACATGAATCTTGAATTGTACATTTTCGGATCTTGTCCAAGTCTCCCTGCAAGCCCACAGTATAGTTACAAACATCTCCAGCAGAATATGGGTTTCACGTAGACAGCCCGGTGTAGAAGAATGCTCGATCGACTCCAGTAGCGCACTGAATGCGTATCTTCCAACTCCAGCTCCCATGCAGCACCTGTAGACATCTTTCATGTGTTTCGTGCTGCCATTTTACCTCTGAATGGGTTGAAACGAACAGACACCGAAAGAATGGGTGTCCTGAATACCATCTCTCCATCTGCTCTTGCTGCCACCTGCTTGTCCTTACGACATGGACACAACAGCCCCCAGAGCCTTCATGGCCGCGACGATTTTCTCTGCATCCTCCTTGGGCACGCCCTCTTTCATCACCTTGGGTGCACTCTCGACGAATTTCTTTGAATCCACTAAACTCAGACCGAGCAATCCTTTCACTTCCTTAATGACCTTGGGCTTGGCAGCAGCATCGAAGGAATCGAGTTTGAGTGTGAACATTGTCTTTTCAGCGGGGGCAGGCGCGGCTTCTTCTGCTGCCTCTGCTTCGGCAGCCGGAGTTGCAGCAGCACCGCCAGCAGCGGCGGCTGGAGCAGCGAAAGCCATGTCAGGAATATTGAGCCGTGACTAGAATTGTCCATATTAGCCCAAGTTCGAGGAGGACTACAATCAGAGTCTTTGCGAAACGGGGCGCGTGAGCCGCGACAGGAAAAAATGATGTTTGAACATACCTTTAAGCTTGCAACAAGATCTGCTGTCTCCAGCAATGTTAACTGTGATATTTGATCCACAATCCCAGCTATCTTAGGATTTGTAGGCGTTGCAGCTGCATCCGTCGACTGCCATCTTCGTGAACATTGTGAGGGTGCTAAGCTATTCCTTCGTCTATGCTGATTTGCGGAGCTGGTGGAGGAAAGTCGGAGGCACTGGGAAGAAAGGCTGCGTTTTTGCGTCCGAGCTGCGAGCTGGCAGCAACGATGAGTGACTGATGGAAGTTTCGCCGACATCGTGGATCGAGAAGAAATGGCGAGAGGGAGAAGAAGGACTCGTGGAAAGCGTGCGAGGAGTGAGGATTGAGGCGATAGTATCGAATCTCAAGAAATTATCTCGCGATCACCCGCGCATTGACAACCAGATCGTGCCAAGCGGCACGTGACCTAACTAAGACTTGGAAAGCAAGCATCAACGCCAACGTCAAACATCATTCCTGCCTGTCTTTCCGGTTGACAAAAACTGTGGCCAACTGGGAGTCGCAGTCACTGTTTCGCTGATAGTCAATATCTCGCATGGGATCACTGTCATTGGAGTCCTCTATAGGACAGCACTTTTGTATCTTGAGTAAATCGCCACTATCCCATCCTCGAGCCTAATCGCCTAAGCCATTAATCTTTCATCTCTTCGAAATCAAATCATGGAAGACGTTCCAGTATTCAGAGCTGCGAAGCGTAGAAAGTTTGTACGACCCCAGCAAGGAGCTTCCGCGGAATCCCCCGAGGCAGCGTCTCCTAAGGTGGTCGATGTGCTATCTCGCGGCGGGAATGAGAGTCTGGGTGACGATGACGATGAAGACGATGGCGGTGTTTCGAGTCTATTGCGTGCACGGAAACACGTTCGAAAGGTTGTATCTGGTGTTCAATTTTCAAATACGAAAGTCACGCAACAGTCCAGAGAAACCACGGGCATGGAGGTTGTCAAATCAGATCAGGATGTCGACAAGGCTATAGACATCACCAACCGTTTTGTCGGAAGCACAGGGCAGGTCGTCAACGTCGACCAACATATGTTCGTGGCCCCCCTAAAGATGCCGAGTATTGGAGACATAGTTAGCTGACAAGATAAGGGTTGCGTTCATAGATTCCGAAATGGCTAGGAGACGGCACAATCTCGTCACCCCTTCAACTCTGCCGCAGGCAAGTCCAGAGACCGACGTATATCACGACGCTCCATCGTTCAGTGAGGCTGGGTCGACGGCCAAGACAGCATCTACAACGAAACCCACGTCTACCCGCCAGCTGGCCGAAGTCGACCTGGGAGATTCTGTGCACGATACTAACCTAGCCCGCACGCAAGCTGCGCTTGAACGGGTCAAAGCTGGCCAAGCCCCGGTCGAAGAAGTGGACAAGCCACCAAAGCCTCGAAAACCACGGCTAGGCCGAGATGGCAAGCCCATGAGGCCGCGGCCTAGAAAGCGAAGAAACAGCGAAGACATTGCGCGAGACGCTCTTGTGGAACAATTCCTCCACGAAAACAAAATAGACCTCTACGACACGAACACGCTAGGACTGGCAAGCGTCCCGCCGCCTGGTGACGAAGCTGCTGAAGACGGTGGTACGGACGATCGCTTTGCAGAGCAATTCCGGCAGGATTTCATGGATGCAATGGCCGAGAGGAGGAACAGGGCCAGACATGCCCATCAGCCAAAGACATCAACGGGTGTTACAACAGAGTCAAGGGGTCCAAAGTTGGGAGGCAGTCGAAGCGCACGAGCGAAGATGATGCAATGGCAACAGCAGCAACGTCAGCAAGGGGAGTCAGGAGCAAAGAAGTGAGGGTACTCTGGCCGGCATGATGGGTCGAATTTGCAATGACAATGAGCCCTTGAATCTTTTGAATCCTTTGCCAACACATTGCAAGTTGCCCAATGAAGAACATGACACATGGTGGTGGTCAGTATGAGTGCAATCACCTCTGACCGCAACCAGCTACATGTAATCTGCCTGCTCACAGCTGTACTGGTACTGACAAGTGTGGCCATGATCAATCTTCTTCTCCGTTCCTTGGCACAAGGCCAAGTCAAAAACGATGAAAAAGAAGGGCTGTCCAAAGGACAACAGTGAAAAGTTTCCAAAAATTGCCAAAAAACCAAGTCCCAGAGAGACAAGATTTTTGGTGTGAAGAGTTTCAAAAATTGAGAAAAAACCGGTCCCAGAGAGACAGTTTTTTGTGTGTGAAGCAAAAATTGCGACACTGTAAGTCCCGAGAGACTTGAAGAGGTTCCAAAAATTGAGGTTTGAACAACAAATTGTTCAATGGGTCTGCACCATCAATGCTGGCGAACAGAGCATGCCTTACAGTGAGAGAAGCCTCTAGGCAAGGAACTGTTTGTGGTGGAACATTCCTGGACTGCCATCATCGAGAACAACCCAAAAAGCCATTGGGGACTCTGACGTACTGAGATCGCACCCTCCACCGGAATGTCCAAGATGTCGGATCACGGGTGGAAATAGCCGTCTAACAAGACACATTCCCAGTCGTGTAGAGAACTCTGGACACAATGCCAGACCAATTGACCCCTTTGTCGGCAGGGACAGGAGTTGGTGTAACTCCGCTGATACCCACAGAGTTTGTTGATCAGAGATGAGCTGTGTCCTCCTTTTCAGCGTTCGGAGGAAACTCCAAGACGACCAGCTCACGATGGAGATGACATGGCGGTTGTCCTGAAGCTCAAGCAAGCATCAAATCTGCAGGCGGCAAGGAGGACCAACTCGGAGAGAAAAACAACAGGCGGAGAGTGTAAGGCCCGAAGCTTTTCTCAACAAGTGGCGTGTGTAGCCAAGACACATCTGAACATGAAGCTCAAAGATTGTGTGCACAACAGATCTTGATCTCGATCGACTGGGTGATGAAGAGGAGGAAAGGAAGGAAAGTCCGTTTGAAGGGGAAATTCCACAGATATTTATGCCCGTTCACCTGAGCAACTCTCTTGGCAGGACTCTGGCTTAATGTGGCAGCTTTCAATGAGGACTTGGCGGACTCGGTGGAACTTGGCGGATCCATTGAATTGAATGGGCAGGAGGATCGGGCAGTTTGCGTGAGGTGCGGCAGAAGAAGTTGGTGTGTTGAAGCATGGTTGATGATGGGGTTTATACGTGTCACGTGACGAGGCTGCAGCCTCGCGCATGTACACGGTACGGGACAGAAAGGGAGAAGACACCATCTCCAAAAGTCAAAACCAGGGACACAGAGACACACGGGATTTTTCAAGGATGTCAGATACACAGGCACACAGGGTGCTGGGACTACGTTTTCTGGACTTGGGTCTTTTACACCTGCGATCGAGGAGAACTACAAAAGCAAACAAGTCCACATCACGCATCAGCAGGCAGAACGGACGGTCTGTGGCAGACTTTGCGGGATCATGTACGCATGGATGACGAGGAATGGCTTGAGCGCAGCGAACCGAACAATCACTGAATATTGCAATCTGGCAAGCAAGGCACAGTTCCATGGAGCGTTGGCTAGAGACTCGCATACTCTCTCAGACTTCTGCGAACTTCAGTGCTGGGACCAAGGCAACGTCCCCTGGAGTGCATCCGCCAAGGTTCACGGACAGAACCCGCCAAGATTCAAGTATCACTCCCTCCTGAGAGTGAGTGACTTGTCGTCGACTCCTTGGCGGAAAGATCTCTACCTCACCCTCTACCAACCTCTTTGATCTGCTTGGCGAGCGTGAACTTGAGCACTACTTAATGAAATTCCTCTTCTCCTTCTCCTGGAATTTTCTTTTTCCTTTCCTTCTCTCTCTCTCTCCATCACCCTTCCCTTCCCTTGCCTTGAGGGCAATTGTGCTTGCACAAGACCCCCTCAAGGCAAGGCACAGGACAAGTCCTCCTCAATAGGGCTCTGTCCACATTCCCAGCAGCAGTTTCCCCCCTTCCTGTCATTTGTTCTCAAAGTTTTGCTGACGTGCTATAGGAAGTCGCTCACGGGCGGCTCACCGCGCCACTGACACCAGTCCAGGGACACATCCAGCCCGTCTGGAACTCACCGACCTCGAACGCTGATCGCTGCCACGTACCGGGTCATGGTCCCGCCGACCGACCAATTCCACGAACCTCCACGAAACCCACGATTCGATCGAGACAGATTCCAACCCTCGTACGCCACGAGAGGACAACTCCTCCCTCCCTCCCTCCTTCCCTCCCCTTCGCCCTTCGCCCTTCCCCTCCCACCGCCCACACACGAGAGAAACACAAGGTAAGTCGCTTTTCTCATTCGCGTCTTCACTTCCAAAATACTAACTTTTCACATCAGAGCAGACGGAGTGATGGATTTGGGAGCACCAGTGGTGGCGTGTGGACAGTGGGGGTTTGGTAAGTGAAGCTGAAGTGAAATCAACCTTGATGTGAAACTGATTTTGAGCCTTTGCAGGTGTGGTTTTCCCCTTCTGCACACTGTGCAGGAGTGGTGGGAAACATCATTGGCCAGGTTGCAGTCACAAAAGCCTGAGACCAAAAAAAAAAAAGAAAAGAAAAGATGCCCAAAAAGGAAGGCACACGATCAAAAAAAAAGAAAAAAAAGGCCATGCTATCGAAAAAAGGCCAAAGTGCATTCGTCACAAGCACAAAAGATAGCAAAAACAACAAAAAGTTGTTTGAGTGAGCAAGGGGTCTGGACAAGCCTGGCTTGGAAGGACGTGTCGGAGTGGTGTTGCATTGTCAGTCAGTGTATGGATGGATTGCAAAGTCTTGGGAAGGATGGTATGGGAACATCAAGGAAGAGGGCGCAAAGAAAGAAACACGGATAGCACAACATCCAAAAAAAAAAAAATAGGATCACCGAGCGGGAAGTCAAGTCAAGTCAAGTCAACCACAACCACGACAACGACAAAGGTATGGGAAAGCTCGAGTGGCAGGAGGAACAAACAGCATCCAGAACCGACAGCATCATCAAACACAATCAGAGGCGCAAGTCACTCGGCCTCTTCGGTTCAGCATGGATCGCGCACAGCCAAAAAAAAAAAGAGCATTGAGCGGGACGCACGGTATGGGAAAGCTCTTTGCCTGGAGGACAAGGACGGTAGAGACCCAGCATTGGGCTCTGTGGAGAGAGAGACGGACAGTGCAAAAGGGACAACGAGCAACTGCGCGGGCTGCAAGGTATGGGAAAGCGCATTGCCGGAGGACCAGAGCCGTATGGGCACAGGGGATATGGAAACAGGGTGAAGGGGATTTTGAGTTGAGCTGGGCTGAGCTCAGCGTGGGCAGGACAGTGCAGGGCACAGTCAAGGCAGATCAGGTCAGTTGGACCAGGGCAGGACAGGGAAGGACATGTGCAGGGCACAGTCAAGGCAGATTCAGACCAGTTGGGTCAGTTCAGTTGGACCAGGACCAGGACATTGTCGTTGCGGTTGTCATTGTCATCGTTGGATGGAGACACTTGGAAAAGGACCCGGAGGAATTTAGATAGATGGCGGCGGGCATGGCGGGTCGGTGGGCGGGTTTTCCCATGCTCGAGAACCAGATTTTGTGGTGGTTGTGGTGGTGAAGGGGGGAAATCAATTGGAATTGTCAAGGTCCTGCAGGGACGGATACGCTCCGAGACATATACGTCTGGAGTGAGGAGCGAGTACATAGATACGATGTCGTCTTTCAAGCCCTTGTGGACGCACTCGCACACACCAGTCAATTAATGAGCTTGGGAAATCATCCATCCATCCATTCATCCATCCGCCCACCACTTTGCTCCTTCCAGTGAGTGATACATCTCGTATTTTTTCCCCATCGATTGCCTTCGCCATGTACCATGTATACCATGGATATCACGCCCATGTCCACGTCCATGTCAAGTCGAGGCCGCACAAGAGTGCGTGCAGATATGAAACATGGCCAGTGGCTAATGGCAAAGGCAAAGGCAAAGGAAAAAGGCAAAGGTCCAATGTTGGATCGGTGGGGAAAATAGGGCGACTCGTTCCCCTTCAATAATCTCAATCTCTCGAGGTCTTCAAGAGTTCTTTCTGTCTGTAGATAACTCCCCTATCCACCAGCGCCGGACTAATCGCCGCACACCCTGACTGTTCAATACAGATTTAACAACATCTATTAAACATACACACAGAGAGGATCAAAGCATACATGTGCCTGCGGAGACTGGGATCTCTGGAGATCCATAAAGTGGACGGAGGATCTTCAACTCCTCCAACGCCCTCGCTAGCTAAAACTTTTGCATTTCAGGTGATTTCAAGGTGAAAGTGTGTCGCGGCGGCGATAGGAGAGAGCATACAACTCTGCTTGTCTCCGCCCCATCCGCCGGTAGTGGTAGAGACGTCCATAACAATCATCAGTTCTCCAGCCGATATCAGAAGTCAAGTTGAAATTAGGGGTTGTGCAGTAAAAGGTTCAGGCTGGGAAGATGTGATGGAAGGATTCGTGGCAAGAGAGGAATCTCTCAATCGATGCCAGCGTAGAGATCGACGACGATGTTGATAGCTCTGCAGGGAATGGGTCAGCTGTCCTGCTTTTGTGAAACACCAATTCGAACGAAGACTTACGCGACCAAGATTTCCGCAGCGATGAGAATGATAACTGTAGCTCGTTAGCAAAAAGCCATTCAACAGCTCAATGATGCTCACCAATCCACTCCAGCACTTCTCCATGTCGCCTGCTGCCTTGTTCTCTCAGGACCGCAAGTAGATCTGCCCCAGATTAGCAATCCTCACATATAGCGTCAAGAATACTGTTGCACCAGAAACTCACCAGCAATAACATCCAGACGCTCTGTCAACAACCCAACGCGCTGTTCAATTTCCAGGTAACTCCTCACGGCCGCATACACGGGTTCCAAATGAGGTTCCGACCACATCAACTCAGGAGAATCCAGCACGGAGCCTTGCAAGTGGATGTTTATCCGTAAGATAAATAGTTCCCCGATTTGCATGTTCAATTGGCGTCTGGTCAAGTTGACACTGCCGGTCTGGGCGATAAGTGCTGGTAGCGGTGCGGTCGTTTCGATGGTCTCGCTGACAAGATCCTCGAACAGACTCGTCTTGACGGATTGGGACAGCGCGTGTGAAATGGCCAGCTTGATCATATGGTTTCGTGGCTCTCGTAGGGAGATGAAGTCGTTATAAATCCGTGCTTGGTATTCCTTCGTGTAATAGAAATTGAAGTTCTCGGTTTGAACAGATTCGGTAGGCAACGGAGCATCACTGAACTTGGACATATCATGGAGAAATCTCTGCTCTTGTTGTACCGTCATGCCCCAAATGACGACAGTGCCATAGTCAAAGATAAAGATCTCGGGTATGTGGACAGTGGTGGAAAATTCCGAGTCCGCCCTTGGGCGCATCGCATCACTTTCAGACTGGAGGTCGGTGGAAAGGTGGCTCGAAATGGCGGTCAGATCTGTCGTCGTATCTTCTGCTGTTGCAGAAATACCTGTCTGCGTACCCAGTTCCTCCTGTAGGTCGATGAGTTGGTCTCTTCTGATTTTGTTGTTATCTTCCACCTCTACGGCGCTGTCCGAGAACCGTCTCTCCCTGGGACTTATTCGCGGAGAAGCCATGACTCTCGCGATCCTCTCCTCGACTGGACTTGAACTCCTGTCTCCTCCTTTGTTCTTCTTCACATAGTCGTAGTCGTAGGGGCTATAGAGACACTCGTCGAACAACTTGGGGTTGGCACCTCTAGTCCTGGACCTCGATTTCATGAATTTCATAATCCCCTCAAGTCGGTATCCCTGTGCCATGCAGTACGCAGTGACTCGAGGTAATCGATCCCTATCCGCCTTCCCCAGCCTTGCAGCATCCCTCCTGGCCGTAGGGTCTTTGATCCGGGTGAACTGTGAATATACATCTCTGCCACTCTCCTCATCTCGTTCTTCGTCACCGATGTCCGGATTTGGAAGTATCTTTAGCTTCTCCGTGGTTTTGGTAGTCCTTTGGGCACCCGCTCTTGGAGCCGGAGTGAACGGCTGCGTGGTCGGTAGCGGGGCTCCGTGGCTATTTCTTCTGCGCAGTTTCGAGTTGAAAGCACTTAGCATAGGCGGCTGATCTCGAACTGCTGGGTTGGAACCGGTCAAGGCCGCCGAAGGACTTGAGATGGGTCGGAGAGCGGCGGAGGAGGTGGCTCCGGACTGGGTACTAACAGACGTTAAAGGGTTGAATGTGACAGTCCGTTGATTGCGTAGAGCGGGACGGGATGGCGACTCGCTGGGGGAAGTATGCTGGGGCAGTAAGGGAGACGACTCGCTCGCTGTGGTCGCCATGGTTCAGGCCTTTGACAGGGAAGCAGGTCGTACAAGAGGGAGGGATTGGAAACAGATTACAGGAGCCTGTGATATTCTTCGGGGACTGTAGAGGGGGGGGGAGACGGAATAGATGAAGCTGAGAAGCCAGCAAGTGGTGTGTCCTCATAGACGAACTTAACCAGCCCAACCGTCTGGCTCTCCCGGTTTGCATCATCGTTCTCTGGCTGCCACTCCAACTGGCAACCTTGGGAGCTCTCCAGCGACTCCACCTGCGCTTGCTTACTAAGTTAGTTTCGCCTGCAATCATGCACGTTACTTCCTGCCGAGCAAAGCTCCGTACTTGGTATCTACTCGGCACGCCTCTGCATATGCAAAAGGACAAGGAACCACCAATTATCTATGTACGTGGGACGGATTTGCAACAAGTCCATTGATCCACAGCAAACGGTGGTCGCACCACTGACCATCTGTGGTAACGTCCTTCCCAGGGTTAAACTACGAGGCTAAATATACACGACTGCTTCAGAAAACCCGTTTTTGACCCCCAACCTTTCCCTCCAAAATGATATCGAATAGGTCAATCAGTAGTAGTATGTCTCATCGGGTGTGCGACCACGAATGTAAGCTGGCTCGCTTCCACGGACGTAGATATCCTCGAAAAGAATCTTTTCCGTCGGGTCTGGAGGTGGCATCTTTTCGGCCTCCGCAACCTCTACATCAACGTCCTCTCGCGCCTTTTTGTCAATCTGCTTGAGCTCATCTTCTGTGCACACTCCCCAGTCCAGGATCTTCTGCTTGAGCCCTGCAATGGGGTCATTGGTTGATCGCATCCGTTGAATTTCCTCTCTGGTTCGGTAGGTTGTACCGGGGTCTGACATGGAATGGCCACCATATCGGTACGTGACATATTCGAACACCAATGGTCCCTTGTCACTGGCGGTGTATTCCTTGCCGTACTGAACGGCGGCCTTGACGGCGAGAACGTCCATTGCATTAATCTTCAGACCAGGGATGTATTGTCCTCGCTTGTAGTACTCGGTCAAAGCGGACGATCGAGCAGCCGAGGTACCCATACCGTATTTGTTGTTCTCGCAGCCAAACAAAACGGGAAGGTTCCACAGCTTGGCCATGTTGAAAGCCTCAAAGACTTGACCCTGGTTGGAAGCGCCGTCTCCGTATAGAGTGATGGTAGCGGTCTTACTGCCAGTGTACTGGTGCGCAAAGGCGATACCAGCACCAACAGGGACTTGGGCTCCAACAATTCCATTACCGCCGTAGAAATTTGGAGCGAACATGTGCATCGAACCTCCTTTCCCATAGGCGATGCCCTCTCGTCGCCCGAGGAGTTCACCAATGATGGATTTGACGGTGCCACCACGCATGAGCGCAAAGCCGTGGCATCGGTAGGCCGTGATGATAGCATCCTGGCGGGTGATTGCGTGTTCGATACCCACAGCAACGGCTTCCTGACCGGTGGACAAGTGGCAGAATCCTCGAATCTTCTTCTCCTTGTACAGTCTATCGGCCGCCATTTCCATACGACTATTGCGAGTGTCAGAAGGTGTATTTGCAGCATTTGCCGCTCACATCCAACTCACCGTATTGCCACCATGTCATAGTACATCTGTTTCAGCTCCTTTTTCGTGGTGTCAAGTGTGTATGAGGGAGGATCGAGGTTGTAGGTTTCGAAACTCTCGTCGGAGAGCTTGACTGGGAAGGGTTTATCATCTTCCTGCAGAGGGATTGTCAGTGTCTCCTCGGACACAAATGAAACCGAAGAGGGAGAGGGTGCGCCTTGCCTCCGGGACATCGTCCTTTTCTGCGTGAGAGCTCGCGGCGTCAGTGGTGACGCTTCGTCGAGCAAGCTGGTAGGCTTGTCTCTTTGGCAGCGACTGCAGGCCGAAGCCTCTTAGACAGGCTCTTGACAGCATCTCTGAATGGGTGAAAGGAGAGAAGAAGAGATGCAACGAATTCAATGGGGGCGCCGATGAAGAGAAGTGGATGGGAGTTCTGCTTAGCTGGTTGCTCGTATGTTGGGAGACCGAAAGGAGCGCTAGTGTCATCCAGCGGACCTCAAAAAAGCCAAAAATTGGGATTCCGTCGCCGACGCCCAAATGGCCCCGGTGTTGCTGCTGCTGCTTTAACGATTCACCAAATGCCTCGAGACCGTCACAATCAACACATGCTATACCGGATAATAAGAACTTGCAAGTGGGAGACTCATATTACCAATTGCTGCGCCTAGTAATGGAATTCCTGCCTGTGTTGCACCTATCCCGATGCCTCGAATCTCAATGCCATATCTGTAAGAATGCTTCCTCAAAGCGACGAGGGTATCACAGTCGCAAACAGTGTTCCCTCAACGCGTTTCCACCACCCCGCCCAACGTTGATCAACTTTCAGTAGTAAAGGTTCATGGTCAATGTCACGACGTTTCTCATTGTGCTCATGCAGACAAATGATATGTCTCTCATCCCCGGTCGGCTTAATATGCACCTCCAGGGCCTACCAATCCAGGCTGAGCACCGTACCCCCCAGAAACTCCGCCCTGATGTCCCAGCTGTCCGGGTTGCTGCATTGTTGAGCTAACATGACTCCTACCGTGTCCGGCGTAGTTTGGCAGATCCGAAAACCACGGATGCCTGAGGGCGTCTTGTGCGCTGATTCTATTCTCTGGTCTGAGCTGCAGCAACTTCCCCAGCAGATCAAGGCCTAACTGATCAATCTGCGGCAAGAGAATTGCCAACGATTGCGTGGCGTAAGATGGAAAGTTGCTCTTGTACTCGGGGAGCTGGGAGATGCCAGGCCAGGTGCGCTCTGACGGCGTGCCCATCAGCCTGAATATCTTTTGTAGTTGGTCCTCATTCGTCGTCCCTGGAAACAAAGGTCGGCCAGTGTACATCTCGGCCATGATGCAGCCCGCAGACCAGATGTCGATGCTCGTGTTATAAGTCCTCGACCCCAAAAGCACGTCTGGTGCTCTGTACCACAGTGTGACCACCTCATTGGAAAAGGTATTCACTGGGATTCCAAATGCTCTTGCCAGGCCGAAATCCGCCAGCTTCAATTGGCCTTTCGTGTTTATCAACAGGTTTTGGGGCTTCAGGTCGCGATGTAGGACTCGGTTCTCGTGGCAGAATGCAGTGCCTCGGAGTAGATCTTGCATGAATCTCTTGATGGTGACATGGTCGAGTTGGCCCCTATCCCCTCGCGCGTCCATATACTTTTTCAGGTCCTTGTCCATATATTCGAAGACCAGCATGAGCTTGTTCTCGGTGTGTATGACGTCGTGCAGCGTGACAATGTTTTCATGTTTGAGCTCCTTCATCAAACTGATTTCTCGGATCGCTGTCGACGGCGTGCCTTCTTCGGAGTCAAGGTGGATTTCTTTGAGGGCAACGAGTTCACCCGTCTGTCGGTTTCGCCCCTTGTAGACGGTGGCGTAGGTTCCCTCACCCAGCTGAGGTTTTGAGTCAGCAAGGGCGACTTCCTTCTGGGTGGTCTGGGACTGGTCAACGTACCTTTTCCAGCTGTTGGAATGAACTAGGGTGCCTCCGATCCATATCTGTGTGCAGTGGTCGGTCTGGTTGGGTTACTCGTCTGAAAGGCGGGGTACCGCCAGGGAACAAAAGTGAGGCTGGCGAGATGACTCGTTCGGCGAGCTGTTGCGCAGTGAGCCTCTGAGGTTGTTGGTGGGTTCTCTGCTGAGTGGAAGCCTGTGACTGGGTTTGGGAATGGGGTGTCGATGCTGTCGAAGAGACTGAAGTACGATGAGGAATAGATGTGGAACGAGAAGACATGACAAGGAAACGGGGAACCCAGGGCAGGCCCAGAAAATGAGAGGCAGCGCCTTTAGGATTTTACTGGTATTGGTTCTCGCCAGCGACGATCCTCAGTCTCGCCTCTACGCATCAGGCCAAACTCCAGTAAAACGCAAATCATTTGCCACGAGCGGCTAGAAGGAGTATGCCAGGGATATCGGTGCCTGGCTATGGGTTACACATCGGGGACAACTGGCTCTACTGCTGCAGAGGAAAAGCAAAAAAAAACCTCTTCTTTGTCCGCAGACCCTGCAAGATCCGGGCGCCTGTCATGCCCCGCCATTCGCCTGTTGCTTCGTCCAGTCCAGGCATTTGTAACTGGCCAAACCCGTTTTCCCCTTGCTCTTGCCTCTGTCCAGTGACTAGCCAAAACTGCGCGCACCGCACACCGCACAACGCACAAAAGATTGAGAACTCAATTACCTCGGCGCTTCCGTTTTGCTATGTATAGACATGCACATAGCCGCCCTGTTTCAGCCTCGTACGCTTGTCATCGATGGACAAGCAAACAAGCTACGGCACAAGTTCACTACAAGACAAGCACACAGATTCACATGCAGGTGGGTATTTGTAGGATTATGACATACTTATTATGTCTACATTATAACTCTGTCAAGAGAGCGCCGACCAGCGGCCTAGCCCCCCGGACATTCATCATCTATTTCCGCTGGCTCGCGCCAATATGGACTCTTTAGTCGGCACTGTAGCCGTTACACGCTGAATCCTTTAAATGCAATGAGATTGCAGACCTCCGCTTATAACAAGTTGTCGAATCGCTCGAAAAATAAACAAGTAGTCGTGAAGTTGCTGACGGTATCTGTGAGAGGGGTATCATCGAAACAAATCATTCATATGCAACTCTCTTTTCAGTGTCATTTCGTGGGCAAGTCGTCTCGTGCACTGTACTTCGTTCGTAACGCCGCCAGGGCAACTATAGTGTGGAATAAATCAACGTGGTGTCTAGCTCGTTCCAAATCATGCCGTGCGTGGATTGCTGAGTGATGGCGGATGCTGTGTCTTCCCCCCTGCTGTGACCAGCGTTGGGACCACTGGCTCACTCATTGTTCGCCGACGTGACGATTCGACGGTTGGTCGTTGAGCATATGCAATGAGCATCTTGAAGCTCGATCCCCGACCTTTACATTCCGCCAGGACATTTCTGTCGGCGAATATGCTTCTGGCGAGGTTGCCATCGCTAATGACGCTGGCTTCAAAACAATGCTGCCACCATGTTCGTGCTGTCCTCGACACGATCTTTCCGATACGAAGATCCGCATTGTCTGAGCGATCGGAAAGAAGGTCGTTCAGAGAGAGGTTGGCACCTCTGCGACCTTGGCCGAATGTCATTCGCGGAGACGCATCTCCCGGACGTGTGTCACCAGATCCTCGCTTTGGTAGCCCGTCCGAGCCTCGACTTGAGCGCGATGACGACGACGAATCGGAAGATCCTGAAGGACGCCCTGCGACAGGTACTCCTACTACGCAGCGGCTGATATTTGTGAAACGCCGTGAGCCTAACACGCTCTGGACATTGTCGATGATTGGTCGCAGGCTGATCTGTTTATCTGCCGTCGTCATTCGATACTTGAGCTCTCGGACAGCCCTCCGAGTCTGCACGCCCATGTTGACAATGTCAAGATCCAGCAGCATTAGTTCCAGATAGCCGCCTGGTTCTAATACCCGCCTGCATTCAGAAACAATGTTCTTCATCTTTGCTTCGGCCATTGCGGGAGGAAAGCGGAGGACCACCACGGAGAAGAAATCCTGTGGGAAAGGAAACTTTTCGTAGAAACTCGGGATTTCGGCTCGTCGATGATTGTCTGGTGCATGCTGGGTCGCTTTCGAAGTCTTCATTCCTTTGGGTGTAACCTTCTCTTTGAGATCGTGGACATATGCCTTTTGCGCTTCATAAGTCACTGCACAATATATTGACCAATCTTCGTTGCCTAGACCGTCAATGACAAGGATGTGACGCTCTGGAGACTTCAGGATATCATCATGAGCAGGCGAGAATAGAACTCGTCCAAATGATAACCACTTTGACACCATGAGCGATGCGTAGTGCAGCTCTGACTGTGCGGCTGGGTCCTTGCCTCGTTCAACAACATCCAAACGAGCAACGTTCTCTTGGTGAGATGATTCCGGGGCCAGCTCAGGTGCACTGATTGTTGCCGTCAGACGCTCGAGAGAGGGATTTGCCGTAGAGGTGCTCAAGCGCTCCGAGACTTTGGTGCTGTGTCTTGAATGATTTTCGTACTCGCTTAGTATATCGCGAATTGAGAAAGGTGATACAGGGTCGCTTGAATGATGCAATGCCGAGACGATTCTGGACCGGCGCAATCGAATATCCTCCCCTACGACGCGTTCAGGCATTGTTGGTGGTGGAAAGACTACTGGAGGGGTAGCTGATGTCGCCAGAGTCTGTGAGTAGACGGGTCTTCTCATGCCAGGAACGGGAAATTCTGCTAAGATAGGATCGGATCGTTCGTCCTCGGGGTGTTGGTCCAACGGGGTCGGCCTCGGAAGAGACTCGAGATCCACCAGTCCTGGTTTACCTCGCCGTGCCAGAGCCTTTACACTTCTTCTGCTTCGAGAAGGTGACATGACATGGTCAATGAAATCGTCGTATTCATTCCAGACATCATCAAGGCCGGGGCTGCTAGTTGGATAGACATCTTGAGCGGCAATAGGTCTTCCAGAAATGCCACCAGCAGGTATACTTGGAATCAATGGTGGTCCAAGCATACTTAAAACTCCCTCGGAGCTGCTGGATGCAGAGACTTCTGATGGTTGCCTCGATGGGAATCTCAGGAACTCCGTCTCTCCTAACACTGGTGCACTAGGAAGTCTGGTGGCTTCATCCACTGCAGCGAATGGTCTACTTGGTAGCACATCCGTGCTGATCTGGAGTGGTATAGATAGTAGGGGGTTAAAGGGTTCCGACCGATTGAATGGACTCTCAGAGGGAGGGTCCCTGACAAATGGTTGAGAAAAGGAGGCGCGACTCGGTTTGTGCTGCCTCTCGTTCCTCGGTACAACGGGTGGGATCCTTCCAACTCGGATCAGGCGCGGTTGTTTCTGTGGCGGCTCTTCTGTTTGAATCGAAACGTTCTCAGCCTGACTCCGCTGTGGCACTGCTGGTGGCGACCTCGAAAACGTTTGCGGGGACGACATTTGCGCAGTTCGGGAAAAGGTGTTGTCCTCATGTATGGATGTTTGCGGTTCATCTTCTGCAAAGTCTGCCTCGTAACCGCCGATCAATGGACTTACCATTGGTGAATCAACGACCTGCGCAAGGTAGTCGCCAATATACTCAGGTGGGTTGACTTCACTCTCAGAATCCATCATGGCATAGTACGGCATAGGCCGAGAGACAGGAATAGCGGATATGCTGACTGGCATCTCCTCGGGCGAAGATGAAATTGCGCCGACACGTCTCACGGGTTCTGGTTCGGTTCCTCTTTTTCGAAAGATATTCCACCGAAGCTTCCTAGTCTTCTTATCCTTCGATTTCTGGAGTCCGGTATCGCCTCGGCTGGGATCAGTCGTTGTGCTAGGTGTCGAGGTTGGGAAAGCTGAAGAACGACTGTCGTCTTGGCTGTTGATATACAATGGCGCCGAAAGTCCTTCGGTACGAATGGATGTTGGGAGATTGAAACTCTCTGGATCATTGCCAAAGCGTTGTGATCGCCGCAGTGCCAGTGTAGGAACACTATTCTGGCTCGATAGCCGGTCCTGAGCTCTCTGCGGACTGTCTTCGACTGACTGTCGACCAATAGACGTCTGTGACTGCGATGCGGTTCCCCATGTCTCCACAACATTAGCAGGTGGAGCAGAAGAGCTCTCGTATGCGTCAAGTCGAGTTCCCGATATGCTCTTCATACTACTGCCAGAGCCACCGATGATAGGGATGGGTTTCATTCGACTCGCTGCAAAGTCGTCCAGATCGGATTGGCTGCTTCGATTGTGGCGACTGCTACTGCGGCTCTCCTTGCCCTTGGAGGAGAAAAGAGGAATCCTTCTAGTGCTGCTCACGGACCTTTCACTTTCGCTTCCTCTGGCTGAATTGCTCTCTTCAGATGTCTTGCGGCCCCTTCTTCCATATTTTCCGTATCCTTCGTGGCCTGTCCCAGCAGCAGGCCCTCTGCGTTGCAGCTTGCGGGGGGATTTTTCGACTTCGATGGCAGGAGACTTGGTTCGGCGACCAAACAGTCCGAAGCGAGAGAATTTGCCTGTGCGACCTGTTGAGCTTTGCGTTGCTAAGTCCGGATCCGGAGGGGTCTTTGGACGACCTTCCATTGCCGCGGCCATCTCCTGTATTCTAGGAAACTCAGTCGGCCGAGATTGAGTCTCGAGATTCTGTTGTGTTACATCTGGATGTCGGCGTGTGGAAGGTGCGCGATTTCTCTGATCACCGAAGATGTCTACACCTTGGCGGTTTTCGCTGCGCGGCTTGTCATGTAAAGACTGCTGGAGATTGGCATGAGCATGGACAATCGGGCGGTGCTGGAGGGATTGCCCAACATTTACCCGGTCTGGGTAGCCTCGAGCTGCCAAAGGGCTGCGTTCTAAATCGGACAAGGAACGTGTAGGCTCCTGGTCCGGTCTCCCACGTTGCTTGTCGCTTTTGCTGCTGCTCCTACTTAGTGAATGTTTCGCGGACGAAGACCTTGGAGGTGGGGTAGGGGCTGGCGTGTTCAGGGGTGTTCTCTTCCTGCCGGACGACTTCACAGAGTCCTTTGAACTTGCCAGCCATTCACTTGCGACCGGTGGAGGAAGAGACTCTGGGAGAGCCGGCATCTTGGGAGGTTTTTCGCGCTTAGCAGCAGGAAACGGGACTGTCTGAGACCGCTTTGCAGGACCTGTCACGGGAACTTGCTGCACAATACCAGGAGATGCTGAAGACCAGGATGTAGGGGTTGTCGTTGTGGTGGACACACTCCATGGACTCGGAGAATTGGAAAATCGAGTTGATGGACTGCTAATCGAGCTTGCAGATTTATTGAAGGCTTGTTGTTGTCTTGTTGACGAAGCTGCAAGAGCTTGCAACTCTGGTATTAATCGAGGTGGCAGTTCGCCTGCGCGAACAGATGAGTTCGCTCTCGGCATCACTACGCCAAAGATCGCATCCTGATCAACATCCAAAGAGGATTGGACATCACTCAAGAGACCTGGTGGGTAAGCCACTCTCCTGTTACCAGAGGCGTCGTCTTCCCATCGTGATCCCGGGTACGATTCCATGAGCAAAGGAACCTCCTGCGACATTGAATCCGATCGTGTAGTCGGCCTGCTCATTCCAACAGAGGCGCTGGTGTTCTTGAGAGTGGCAACAGAGCGCTGTGAAGGATTTCTTGTTGCTGGTCGTGGGATGGCTGTTGGTCTTTGACGAGGCTTTTCACTAGGACTCGCCGGAGACTCATTTGTAGGAGGGGAGCGCGAAGCTGGGCGTGTGTTCGTGGCTGATCGTGTCAAGTCGGGTTGACCGCCCCCATGACGAGAACTAGGTGTTCTGGTGGTTCGTGGCACGGTAGCATCTCTGGTTCTGGAAACACCATATTGGGTGTCATACGTTGGATTTCTGTGTGACATATCCTGTATCGATTGGGAACCTCCTGGCCGGCCTCCCTGATTGCACACAATGATGCTGAGCACGTTTGACTCATTCCGTTCCCATCAACTATCAAGATCAGGCATTGAACCGGCACGTTTTCGTAGGTGTCTAGGCGCGGCGTAAGAGCAGATCTTCTTGTCGGAGGTATACCGACGGAGTAGGAGGAACTCAAAGGTGGATTTCGTCGATAATTCCTTTCAGAATGACTCAAAGCATATGTCGCACAAGCCTTTCATACCCGAGACAGTGTGATAAATGCTCAGAGTCTTGTTAAGTGGCCGCACGGGAATAGGATAGAAGTGGGAATCTTGATCGATAGGATGCGCCACAGAGGCCTGTATAGCATGATCGGCCACGCCGAGGGCAAAAAATAGTAGCCACAAATGCAGCACGTGATACGGCAGACGATGATCCTGGTGCTGTTCACACAAGAGGACGCGTGTACTATGTACAAGTAGAAGTCCAGTGAGAAGGGTAAGAGAATGGAAATCGGAATGGGAGGCAAGGTCCTTTTTCTTGGATGATAAACGGCCCGAGAGGGAAAACGGCAGCATGAGACCAGGCGGATCTTACAAGCATCTTGTAACGACAGAGAAAGCGGCACAAGCGAATTGAGTTAGTTGGGGCACAAAACGAAAGGACGCTGGCCCAGCGTTAAAGGGACGCTCGCTCGCTCCAGATGGCTGATGCTGATGGCTTGCTTCATGATCAGAGGGATTTTCCACCATGCACGGCCTTCCAAGCTATCCAACGGGGCGGGGTGGCCCACCAACTGGACCGCGGGTAACTCGTGTCCATCACCTAGAGTCAACTGTGTTCTGGTTGTAAGGCGTCAAGAGACCTTGGGGCTGTCCAAGTCCAAGGCCATCTTTTGCTCCTGATAGGTCTTATATCTGGGACGGGTCTCCATCATGGGTCCTCCCGCACAGTCTTGGAGAAGCCGGTCCAGGGTTGCGGCTGACATGCCTGGGCAAATACGATCAAACGCACTCTAGGCCTCGTGGGGAAACCGTCCCAGGAGTCAAACCCGGAAAAACGACTTGAGACTGTGTACCTCGTATGTACCGATCAAATGGACGAGCAGGCATGCGCAAGCGTGACTCGCTAGATGTCGTGCGTGGTGCTTTGACGAGGTCATGTGCATTGGTATGACGACCAATGGATAGCCGCATCATAGGCAGAATTCAAGGTTCCGGCAGGCGAGGCCGATGCCAGGCTGTCATCAAGGTCGCGAAGTGGGAGTTCTAGAGGTCTATCATGTGGCGACGCTTGGATCTGCGCCAGTCGAGAATTGACTGCTTGGAAGCAGCTCACAAGTGACTGGTGACCTCGTATTGCACAATGGAGTAAAATCTGATCCAACAGGGGAGAAGTACCTTTGCTGAAATCAGCAAAGAGGCCGGTGGGCAAAAGTTGCGAAAAGGATGAGAACCAGTTGACGGGGTTTGAGAGTCGAAGAGCAGCCACGAAAGTGGGGGTGACGCATACTCGTACCAGTAGGTACCGACGGACAAAGCCGAGCCATTGGGGCGGCCACTTGGGGGGTCTTGCTACGGGTGGTGGCGACACTGCGGGCTGAATGAGCTACTTCCGTAGGTGCCCAGCTAGCCTTCTGCATAGCCCATTAGCCCTAAGTCATGTCTCTCTCTGTGCTCTGGATAGGTGCGCCGTCTCCCCCACTGTGCCGAGGCTCGGGCCACTGCCAGAGCCCCGTCCGTGCTGGAGAGCGCACCGTCGTTTTCGTCTTGTCCTCTGATATTGCGAAGGCTTGCTTGAACGGCTTTTCTATGCCAGAACAAGCCTCTGATTACGACAATCTGCTCTTCCCAAGAAAAAAGCCTCAAACACTCAGGTCGGGTGAGGTATTGACGAGACTGACTTACGCCTCGTACTGTCAAGTAAAGCCTTGGACCTTCCGTGTGCGCCCCATTACGATTGACCCAGACTCGTACGACTTTGTGCAAGACTCAATCCTCGTAATGGCGAATGCGGTCAAGGACAATGTCACCACCACGGAAGACGACGGCAACGTGCCTGATCTTTACCACACTGCTGTTGATCTTCCAACACCACATGAAACGCATCCGGCTTGTGTGGCAATGTGGCTGATTCGGTAATGGTTTGAGAGTATGTTCATCACTGCAACTCCTGCATGGAGTCACAGTTCTCTAACGTGTTCCTGCAGGTCAACAATGCAGCAAGCAACTCCTTTAGCGCTCTGCATGCCTTAGGACGTTGTGGATGGCGCACGCTCTACCAGCCCTGCTACTCGTCAAGCGATGGCTTACAAAATCCTCCGAACTCGAATTTTCCAGACTTCTTTTTACCCGATTCTCCCTCGCGCGTCCGCTATTTTTCTTACCTCGCGACCAATTATCATCTAGAGATGGGCAAATATCTCTGCTTGTGGCTGATCTTGAGACCCGAGACGTTTGGCAGGATATGCTCCAGAGGGATGTCTGGCGAATCCCGCCCGCGTGCCCACCACGTTCCTTGTGGAGGTTTTCATGCTTTCCGTTGGTGCAAAATCTCCGATCAAGGCCAGTGGACACGGTATTATCCCTGCCCCCTCAACTATGAGCAGGTGTATCTGATCACCTGATACGCGGGATGGAGTTGGGGTTTGGTTGGGTTGGAGACATGGCCACCTCGGTAAGGTTTTTGTGTGCCAAAGACTTCCCTTTCCTGATTCTTGAGCTTCGTGGCTTCTCAGTGGAGAGAGTGTGTGTGATCCAAAGCCCCTGAACCGATCAAGACCTATCAAGTTCAGTGCTTTTCTCTCAACATCTCCGTAAACCATCAATCCCTCCAACTCACGCCATGACGCCGCAAGGAGCTGTGTTCCCCGTCGAAGGAGGTTGTGACTGTGGGGAAGTGCGTTACTCACTACAGACAGAGCCGATGATTGTCCACTGTTGCCAGTGAGTGTCAGAACATATCAGGTCATGCGAGTTGTCCCCGGCTGAAACAGCACAGCTGTCGATGGTGTCAAAGGGAGACTGGGGCTTCCTTTGCACTCAACGCCATGATTGAAACCGACCGACTGAAACTCCTGAAGAATGAACCTGAATGGATCACCGTGCCGAGCGCAAGTGGCGCTGGGCAGAATATCGCACGTTGCCCAAGATGCAAGATTGCTGTATGGAGTGTTTACCTCGATAACACAGCCAATGTAAAGGAGGGCATCCGCATTGTTCGTGTGGGGACCTTGGACAGCCCAGACCTACTCCCGCCAAACGCTCACATCTGGGCTTCTGAGAAGCAACCATGGCTCCTTCTCTCGGATAAAGCCCCCGTATTCGATCGCGGCAGCTATACCAAGGGGGAAGTGTGGTCCAAGGGGAGTCTTGAAAGGTATCAGGCCGTAGAAGCACGCGACGGCACTACCCAATAGGACATGCCAATCATGGCCTTCAAATAAACCGATCCTCCTTTCAGACATCGATATGCCAGGTTGGGTGGCTGGCTGTTTCAAAGTTCGGAGAACTGCTAGTGGTATACATCTGATACACATCCGTAGGTTATCAATGCGTGCGCCGTCTAAGTTCGGTCAGCTTGGGACAGACACAGATATGCCTCGCTCGGCCATGCTGCAGTGGATTATGTCAATACTTTGCTAAGATGAAACAAACCAATTCCCAAACGAGTGGCCCTCAGTCACTCACCGTGCCAACCTTCGTCAAGCATCTCTTCTGACTTTGGATACCTAGCCAGCCCTTGGAAAAAGAGAAAATTGTGGTGCGTTGATGCGTTGGCAACGCTACCAGCCCGATTTGGTATGGCGGAACGTTTTGGGGTCGACTTCAGCCTTGGGCCCGCCCGCCGGGGACCGTGCCAGCTGAACCTGAGGCTGAAAACAAGGCTAAGATCTGATAATAATAATCTTGGTAGCTTCTGTTGGAGGCCAGATTCTCACAGAGCGAAACATAGTCTTTGTGCTCCGTTCTCTTTCATTGCCCAAAACGGACCACGATTGGCACGTTTTGTCCCAACCCAAATCCGCAATGAGCCACGAGGTTTCTCAAAACGGGAAGTCAGACAACGTACTACTACACCCAATACAAGATTTTCAGCGCGGGTACAGACAGGTGAGTGTTTACTTTCGGTCTAGGCCAACATGCTTGCACACCACTCCAATTGACAGATTAGAGCCAGAAAAACACTCCGTCCTGCAGGATTTCGCTCAGCCAATCCTTGATGAAACATCCTTTCCCGTCTCAACCACCACTTATCAAAAGACGTTTTGTCAAAACTATTGACGACTTCATTCTCTTGTGAATCTTTGCGGGAATGAGTCGGTCGACGTGGTCCAACCAACTCAGAGTTGATGGCTAGCGGGCCCATGGAAACATGGGACATCAGACACGCCATTCATACATCTCCAGCATTTGCTCCCGTGGCCTGCTGATAAAATCTCTCAGTCCTTGCTCGAATGACGGAGAAACGGAGGAGGATTGGTTCAGGTGAGAACGAAAAGGAGGGCTTCAGTAATGGCCGAGCAAACCACAGCTAGCACCAAAATGCCCTTCTCGTAACAAAATCAGCACCAGGATTGTGCGTGCCATTGGTGCGAGAAGAGTATCCAGCTTTGATCATGGCATCAGCTGTTCTAGCCTTTTCGCTGACCTGAAGACTGGAAGTGACATGTGCAGATGGACTTGAACAGTAGGTTGAGTGTTCCGGGGCAGGTCAGGGAAACCTATGAGTGCGAGGATGGGACTGTGCAGTTGTTGCGCCTGATTGCTGGTTGTGTGGATTTAACATGCTTTACCTAGTCGATCAGATACAAGCATGAGAGGTGGTGTTTGACAGAGAAGAGTTTGATCGCCTAGCAGTGCGGCGTTTCTGCATGACAGTCGATATCGGCCCTGTGGGATACAGAGATTTTGATTGCCCATCCTGTGATAGAGGATGTGCCCTCAAGGACTTCTGGCATATAAAATCTGACGCCCATGTCAAGCATGGTTCGAAAGGGTCATTTAATCTTCGGCATATTGCAGGCGGTCTTGGATGAGTTTAGTAACCATGGTCGCGGTAATTGTTTAAGGCCAGAGTTCCCTGTCACATGTGGACACATCAGTGGGTGCCAAAGCCCCTTGCTCTGGGACTTTGCAGGCAGGGAGCCATGACTTCTGTAGGATCTTGACAAGACGGGCAGCCTTGACCGCTCGTGAAGTATGGGCAGATGCAGCCCAATGTGTTTAGGTGGCTGTTGCTCTAGACCGGTTTAATGCTGTAGACTCCAAAATGATCCCCAGACCTTGCGAGCAGAAACAACATGAGATTGTCCGTAGACTTCGTCGGGTTAAGAATAGGGGGAAGCTGGGAGGAAACGGAAAATGACGTGGACGAACAAACATTAAAGCAGCCAGAGATGCCCGGTACCCACATTCGTCAATGGCTCGAGTGCCCAAGTGCGTCGCTCTGGTCGCCCTGCGAACGCGCTGTGCCTGGTGAACACAGTTAAAGTTCTTCAGATTTTCGGATTGATGCGTCTCATATTGATCGCTTGAGTCTCTGTTGCAAGCTCACTCATTCAACCGTTATCTGCATTGCGACCTGATCTTGCGCCTTGTTCAGCGCCAGTGGCGCGTCTCCTGTTCTTCAGACTGCTTACCGCACCGTGACCATGGTCGACTACTCTAAGAAAACGGTGGTTGAGCTGATAGAGATCCTTAAATCGCGGAGCCTGCCACATTCAGGAAAGAAGGCAGATCTTATTGCCAGGCTGAATGAAGCAGACAAAGCAGCGCAAGAAAACGGTACGTGTTCACCCATCGAGGAGGTGCCAGCTGGTGCAGTTCTCTTCTGCTGCCATTCTGCGCTTCCGTGGGCTCAATGGCGCTGCGCCGTTAGCATCTTTTGACTAACTTGCGCACAGAAACCGAGAATGCGCCTCCAGCAGAAACGTCCACCGCGCAGCCTGCACCAGCGCCAGAACCCACCACAGCCACAGCGCCAGAACCTACATCTGAGGAACCTGCAGTCGCGGAACCCGCAGCAGTAACTGAAAGTGTCGACGAGAAAGACTCTCCCTCCGCAAATACCGACACAGCGCTAGCCGACTCTACTTCCTACGCTCTGAACCTACCGCAATCAGACCTTGACTCTGAGATGGCCAAGCGTAAGGCTCGTGCTGAGAGATTCGGTACCAGCGCAGCCCCTACAAATGGTGAAACAGGAGCAGACACCGCAGATGGTGAGGCTCAGAGAGCTCTGGAACGCGCGCGACGCTTTGGAACTGGTCAGACGGCTGTGGGAAAGTTGGACGAAGCCTTACCTGAAGAGCGCGAGCGTGGTTCAAGGAAACGAGGCAGGACTGAAGAGAGTGGCGCCCTGGACGATCCTGGTCTGCGAAAGAGCTTTGGGGGCCGAGGAGGGCGAGGAGGAGGCCGTGGTGGAAGATTCCGAGGAAGAGGTGGAAGGGATAACTCACGACGGAGACCGGGAGAGAAGCCTTCTGGGATTCCTAAGCAATCAGGCGTGTTTTCTACGGATGCGGACCGTGCTGCCGCCGAGGCGAGGAAAAAGAAGTTTGCAACAGCGTCTTGAAATTTCTTTTCCTGTCACTGTTATGAAGCTCTCCTGATTGTCTTCGTCAACATGGGGTGGACGCTGGTGGCTCAACTCAGGGAAAAGGCAGCTCAGCCAGAGGACTTCTCATCATTGTATTCATACATAGGTTATGTAACGCAGAGAAAGGATCGGTGAAACTGGACGTCTCTTCACAGGGGCTCGGTGGAGGGCACACCGGCGCCGTGGTCCTATGCTACTCCCATTTCTGGAGGATATGAATGGTATTTGCATCAGAGGGAGGCAAGAGAACCAGCTTGCTTCGCAGGGTTTGGAAAATGAAAATGCCATGTTGATTTGTCTCCTCTACGGAAGAGAACACGAGTTGTCTTGGTAGATTGCCCTTCTCCATGAGGCCCTCAGAACACGCGGCTGTTCCAGTAACTCGGTCAAACTACCAGCTGAGTATCCGTTAATCACGGGAGATTGCGTTGGACTCTTGTTGCTGTGCAAGGAGATGATATCGCCTGGTGTTCTCGTAGTAGTACCTCCTCTCCCGCCGCCGAAGGACTACCAAGGACATTGGATTTGACACGTCCTCGAGCAAAAAGAGTCCTAGCGTGCATTTCACAGAAGATATTGTAGACAGGCTTGAATCAGGAGAGAATCTGACGCAAAGATACTGTTCAAGGACGTTGGCATCCGGAAAAGGTCCACTGATGATCAAATCGCTCGCATAAATCTCTCATATACCCTCAGATCATCCATCCAAGCATCAAATTGGTATGTACCGAGTTGAGGCAAGAGGATGTGTTGATGCCAAGAATGAATCCCCGGAAGTGGACTAGCCGCTCAGTTCTTTCCGTCCCACAATATTCGAATCTCATTGGTTCATCGTTACCAAACAGCAAGCATTTTCTCAACCACATTTTCCTCTCTCTTTGAATTCGACAACTTCCAATAATAACGCCTATCCCTCGCGACAATACAGTCAAAGCCCCTGAGGATTCATAAGCTGCTAGCAAATACTGGGAGTCTCTGCAGGTGAACCACGGAGCCGCCACGTTCGCCTACATCCCATTTAATGTGGTATTGAGAAGCTTCAGCGCCAGGCGATCTTGACTTTAGAGGTCGGTTATCTGACAAGCTATCCCCGCGGAGACGGTGCAATGTTCTAGACACTCACACATTATCGGACTCTTATCATAACGCCATGCGAGTAGCAAGGTCGAGAGAGCATTGAAGACGCTAGTTGTACAACGGAAGCTGCTGGTCTGATAAGCAGGATCCACCAAGTTGATCCAATGCGCACATGCTTCAGATAAGCCTCGCCCAACCACGACCTCATGCCTTACGCTTCGAACAGCAGCTCAAGAGACTCGCACCAAGATTGATGCATCTGAGCCTGCCCTTGTTATCGAACGTGGATGCACCACAAGGATAGTACCCAAGGAAAGGCATCATAACATCTCCGCGCAAAACAGGGGGCATTGCATGCCGCAAAAGATCGACAAATATCATTTATCGCGTCCATCAATCTGTGGGGTTGGATTGACAACCTACTTTGTGCATTGGAGTTAGGCATGTCCTTTGCCCACATTCACCAGGAAGGATTTGAGTCAAAGAACAGTCCTCGGAAGCGTTGATGTGGTTTTTACCAAACTCACATTTGACCAGGCGTAAACCATTGCAGACAGGAACACTCCTTGTGATAAACAGCAGAAGCACTTCCGAGGCGAGTTGACAAGGTGGGATGACCCTTGTACTGAGTACGTCCATCTATTTGAACATATTTTGGATTTTGCCAACGCCTCGGAGCTCGTCATCAATTGACCGGAGTCGATTTAACTCCGGTATCAGCAAATATCTGGCCTGGTTCAGAGGCGACTTTTGTGAGCCAGGGCCCCGACTTGCCAAATTGACTCGATCTCTGTGAGCGATCTGCCGCAGATATACTATTTCAGAGTATGTATGGTCTCAAAGTGCATCTGTACCTTGTCCCCGGAGAAAGACCACAAAACGCCATATCAGTTTTCAAAGTACATGAGTGACGTGGGTTCAAGCCACCTCTTTCATAAACATTTTATATTTCCTCAGACTGTTTCCTTCGGACAATATGTGTTCACATCCAGGATTCGGCGTTGAAAAAACGAAGTCAGGACAATCTTGAATCAACCAGATCCTGGGCCGGTCGCCACGATCGCAAGTATGATGGGCATTGACTTCGGCCTACCCTTTCGGGATCCTGAGGTCAACCCCATCACGTACAAGGCGCGTGCTATTCCATTCCTCAATCCCATTAACATGTATGGAAGAGTATTCTTCTTCTCTTGGTTCTCTTTTTTCGTTGCCTTCTTCGCCTGGTACGCCTTCCCTCCTCTGGTAAGCAGCCCGCAAACATCGTCTACATCCAGTGACATTAGCTGACAGGCGATAGTTGCACGATACCATCCAAAAGGATCTCCATTTGACCAAGACCGACGTTGCGAATTCTAACATCATCGCCCTTTCTGCGACTTTGCTCGTCCGAATAATCGCAGGCCCATGCTGCGATCATTTCGGTCCTCGCTGGACGTTCACCGGATGCCTAGCTATTGGCGCGATCCCTACATTCTTGGCTGGAACTGCGTATACCAGGAGCCAGCTTTTTGCTGTTCGTTTCTTTGTTGGCATTCTCGGTGGAAGCTTCGTTCCGTGTCAAGTATGGAGCACTGGCTTTTGTGAGTACTCCATTCCTAGTCGACCGCTCTGGCTGCTTCTACGAAACAGCCATCAAATGCTCCAAGGCAGATCGGAATAAGGGCTAACAAATTGTGCAGTTGACAAGAATGTAGTAGGCACTGCCAACGCCTTCACGGCTGGCCTGGGTAATGCGGGTGGTGGTGTGACCTATTTCTTGATGCCTTCCATCTACGATTCTCTCGTTGGTAATGGCTTGACTCCTCACATAGCATGGCGGGTGACTTTTGTTGCTCCCGGCATTATCATCATGGCCGTTGCTTTCGGTCTGCTTGTGCTCTGCGAGGATACACCAACTGGTAAATGGAGCGAGCGCCACAGTGCTACTGAGTTTCACCTCGCGGCTCATGGTCTTCACGCAACCGTTGTTGAGACACCCAGTGCCAGTATTGCAGACAACCCTGCCTCGGTTTCTTCAGGCTTCGTCGATCCGCCAGCAGGGGAGAAGACATTTTACGATGCTAGTGCCAAGCGGGAAATATCCATATGCGCAGACCACGAAGCTCAAATGACCGAACAGCAAGTGATCGACACAGCTCGTGGTGAGGTTGTTGTGAAGCCTACGCCCAAGGAAGTCGTTAAAGCCATGTTCGCACCTCAGACCCTTGTCCTCGCCCTCTGCTACTTCTGCTCTTTTGGCGGCGAACTGGCAATCAACTCGATCCTTGGAACGTACTATCAGAAAAACTTCAAGCAGCTTGGGCAGACCACATCTGGGCAATGGGCCGCGATGTTCGGCTTGTTAAATGTCGTCTATCGCCCCAGTGGAGGTATCTTTGCGGACCTCCTTTTCAAGCGCTCTCCCAACGTCTGGGTGAAGAAGATCTGGATTCATGCTCTGGGGATCATCACCGGCGTGTTTCTCATTGTAATTGGCACTCTTGATCCCCACGGTACAAAAACAATGTTCGGTCTCATCGCCGGCATGGCTTTCTTCTTGGAAGCGGGCAACGGAGCCAACTTTGCTCTAGTGCCACACGTCAATCCTCACGCAAATGGCGTTGTGTCTGGAATGACCGGCGCCATGGGAAATCTGGGTGGCATCATCTTCGCCATCGTCTTTCGCTATGAAAAGACCGACTATGGAAAGTCGTTCTGGATCATCGGCGTCGTCACCATTGCCATCAACGTCGTGCTCTGCTGGATTCCGCCCGTGTCAGAGAAGCAGATTGGCGGTCGGTAAGGCTATCACTCGAAAAGTGCTGGGGGAAGACGGCGGCCCTGGCAGTCAGTGGGTGCCGGGTATGTATATGCTTAGATACATATACCTCGCGTGACTATCATTTGGCCTTCTGCAGAAAAGCATTGAGTTAAATGAAACATTTTAACGGTTCTTGAGGCCATATATAGGTTGCATGGTTGTTACAGAATTATTTTTTCCTTTCAAAATAGTATCAGCTATCAGATCCGGAGACATAATTCACCTGAATGCTCCTGTTCATTTCATTCTCTATGGATCTCTGATACGGATTCTTGTTCTTCTACGAGTCCAAAGTGTTTCCCAACAGCCGGATCGTGACCAGCCCGAAAGCCGACCCTCGAGACTTGGCAAACTTCATGATCTCGGCCTGATGCTTTGCTGTCGTCACCACTTTTCCCCCTCTCTGGATTCAGCCATCCACTGAGAAACCGATCAGAGGCCCACTATCATGATACATGTTGAAGCAGCGTTGACGGTTGCAAAACGGCGTGGAGAGGCCCGTTTCGTTGGTCAGAGGTTGGCCGGGATGGAGTCGACATCCGCAGCAGAACCACTAGAAGTACATCGATGACATGGTTGAGGTAAGTCATGATGATTTCATGGATATGCAATTGAAATAAACATGCCTGGTGATCCTGAACTTCTGTGCATCTGCAATGCCTCCAGCTTTGAGTGCATGCCGTTTGCTCTCAACATCCCCAATCTCGAAATACCTATCTCCCTCCTCTGCATTAAGGTGCCATTCTGTAATTCAGCCTCAGGTTCGACATATTAGCGCAGCAGCACGACTCAAGATGCCCGAAGCACTAGACCCCAAAGAAGTCCAATCTGGGATCGATCCCTCGGTTGCAAAACAATATGACGATCAGACTCCTAAAGCCGACCAGTGGAAAGAACTCTACGAGCTCATCGACGGCAAACAGACGAGCATGTTAAACACATACCGCGAGGGAGTTGGGCCCGTTGGCCGGTCGATGGCTGTGGCCAAACGCTCCGGGCCGGATATCCTGTACCTCGCAAACAAAAACTCGCAGAAATTCCAAGACCTGGACAAGAACAAGGAGGTGCAGATCACTATCCAAGACAGCAAGACCCAGGACTGGATCTCCATCAGTGGCACCGCGACAACAGCCAGCAACGACGATCCGAGGATCAAGGAGCTCTACAGCTCAACAGTCAGCGCTTGGTTCGGAGACTTGAAGGACGGTGTCCACGACGGGACATGGAAAGATCCGCGCATGAGTCTGATCGAGATCAAGAGCAAGTACATTGTGTATTGGAAGAAGGAAACCTCGAGCCTCGGGTTTTTGAAGGAGGTTGGAACAGCAGCCTTGACTGGGAGTGTGGCTCAAACTGGTGTCCATCGAGAGTTGACAGAGGAAGACATTAAGAAAGAGCGTGTGTGAAGGCGACACGGACACTCTTGTTGGGGTGGGTGGGAACGATCTGTACGATGCTATTGCAGGTAGTTGTCGAGTACGAGGTACTCGAATAAAGTCAACGGAGGGGGGATGCTCGTGTACCAAGTAAAAAATTGATTGAATTTTTTAACTGATACACGTGCTCGGAGGGCTGGCGTATATGAAGTACTCCGAGGCGAGAGAGACCTGGGGCTAGAACAATCTTCAGCGCCTCATGCGCCTCCAGCACCTTCACCGCCCTTATTGTACCATCGAGAAGTGTGTGTGCGTGTGTTCAGGGGGTTGAAAGTGGAATGAGTGAGTGAATGACGCAGCCAGATGCGGCTAGTGAGGCTAGAGGTCTTGACCAATCAGCAGCCTGCAACTCCATGGCGGTGAAAAGCCAAAAAACTGACCCCGTGGCCTCAGCTGCTGTTCATTCTGCCCCTCGACTCTAACGACCAACGACATTGAAACATTGAACATTGACACATCTTCTTGTCACTTGTCTTCTTGTTCAGAGGACTATCATCCCTGCGCTTTCACTCTCAAACTGTTCTCTGTCACCGGCTGAAGATGCTGAGAGTCCCCTCTCGTCAGAAGCCTACTGGGGCCCAGGCTGTTACCAAAGCCGTGATTTTGGTAAGATCAGCGAATTCGAGTTGACAGAAGAAACTCGACTGAACGTAAACAGGTTGGGGGTCCTTCGCGAGGAACACGTTTCCGACCACTGAGTCTTGATGTCCCAAAGGTAGGTCCTGGTTCAGTCTGAGACTCAACTGTGAATTGACGAAATCACCTGTAGCCTCTCTTCGATGTTGCGGGCCACCCAATCATCTGGCACTGTCTGAAGGCTGTCTCCAAAGTCCCAGATATCAAAGAGGTCATTCTCATTGGTTACTACGAAGAAAATGTCTTTCGTGACTTCATCAAAGACTCGTCGAGAGAATTCCCTCAGTTCAAGATTCAGTATCTGCGCGAGTACCAGGCCCTCGGCACTGCTGGTGGTCTGTACCACTTCCGTGATGCTATCTTGAAGGGCAAGCCCGACAGATTCTTTGTGCTGAATTCGGATGTCTGCTGCTCCTTTCCCCTCGAGGCCATGTTGAAACTCTTCGAGGAGAAGGACGCTGAGGCGGTCATTCTTGGCACTCGGATCAGCAACGACGCCGCCACCAATTTTGGCTGCATTGTCTCCGATGCTCACACAAAGCGAGTCCTTCACTACGTTGAAAAGCCAGAGAGCCACATTTCCAACCTGATCAACTGTGGTGTATACCTCTTCGCTACCGATGCCATCTTCCCTTCCATCAAGAGTGCCATCAAGCGTAAGACCGAACGCCCCCGGATGATCTCATACCCTTCCTCAGAGAACCTCGACTCGTCCTTCATGGCCGACCCCGATGAAGATGGAGAGAAAAACGAGGTCATGCGTCTTGAGCAGGACATTCTACCTGATCTGGCAGACAGCAACCGCTTTTTCGTCCATGAAACCAAGGATTTCTGGCGTCAGATCAAGACGGCTGGTTCTGCAGTCCCCGCCAACGCCCTATACCTGCAGAAAGCTTTCCAGTCTCAGTCAGAAGAGATTGCTACCCCATCCGCGACCATCGTACCTCCAGTCTTCATCCACCCCACCGCCCAGGTGGATCCCACGGCGAAGTTGGGACCAAATGTATCCATTGGTCCCAAGGCCATCATTGGCGCAGGCGCACGTGTCAAAGAGGCCATTGTCCTCGACGAGGCCGAAATCAAGCACGATGCCTGTGTTCTCTATGCAATCATTGGATGGAACAGTCGTGTCGGAGCTTGGGCAAGAGTGGAGGGCACGGCCACGCCAGTCACCAACCACAGCACCACCATCATCAAGAACGGGGTTAAAGTCCAGAGCATCACTATTCTTGGCAAGGAATGTGGTGTGGGAGATGAAGTCCGGGTTCAAAACTGCATCTGCCTGCCATACAAGGAATTGAAGCGTGATGTTGCCAACGAAGTCATCATGTAGTCCCGTTTCGCATTCGATCAGGCAGGACATTCAGGACGAATAGAGGACAGTGCAGAAGCGGGTGTTTTTTTGCGGGAGGAGCAGGCCATAGAGAAAAGAACCAGATTGTGTATTAGGAATGCTCCAACAGGCCAAAGGGCGTTATGATAGCATGATGGGTTTCAAACGTGGAGTAATGTACGAGTGGTTCAGGCATTTGATCTCCTCCCGCATGATTGGTTCTCATTCTCCTGTCACGCAATCCGCCTGAAGCTGAGGTAATAGAAGCCGTCACGGCCGGTGGGTGGCCGGTCAAACCAAATCAGGCGTACCCAAAGGTTATATAAACATTCTCGACGTCTGCCCTCCTCTCTGCTTGTTCTCCTCTCGTCTCCTACAGCGTCTGCAAGTATGGACAGCAGAGTCGTTCGCGAGCAATGTGGGTCTGGGCAGCAAGGCAGCCTGTGAGCCTGAACTACTTCGTCAGCACCTACTACTGTGTACGGTAGGTAGGTAAGGCTTCTTTGCCTGTGGAACGCGATGTAAGTGGCACCCGATAGGGTTAGGGCAACACGCGATTGTCAAAACATCCATCAGAACGGGACAGATATTAATGGCCGTCTATCCGTCCCATTTCACGTACCTGAGACGGTCTCGTTGCCAGAAACCAAACGAACAAGGTGGCAAGTTCTGAGCCTTGGCGGATGAATGTTGGTCCGACTTTCCCCTCGGAAGGATACAAATACCCGAGAAGGGAAGCTCCCGTCCGTTTTTGACTGTTGCCTCGTTGACAGGAACAAGCTGGCATCTTTTCCAAGACCTCTGAGCCGTTCTTTACAAGGTTGAAACCCCATTGATTGAATCGACTTTCCTGGCACAGTTTTGACTGCGACGCGTTGAAAGAACAACAGGGCAAAGCAAAAATGGTGGCCACTCTCACTGTTCCCGACCGATACGGGTGAGTTCAAAGAGCTTCCCTCAGCCTTTTTTTGCGGGTTTCGGGGGGGCAAGCTGACAGGACCTCTCCTCGCAAAAGCTATGTCGTCCTCATCGCTCTAGGGGCGATCCCAGTCCTCTGCTACGCCCAAGGCATGGCGGTGACCTTCCTGCGCAAGCCGGCTGGCGTGCCTTACCCAAACGCCTACGCGTCGGCAGAGAAGGTCAAAGAGAGCCAGGCCGCGTACAAATTTAACTGCGCACAGAGAGCGCATGCCAATTTGCTCGAGAACATGCCCCAGACAATCGCCTACATGTTGTTTGCGGGCTTGGAGTATCCCACGGCCACGGCCGCATTGGGGGCTGCCTGGCTGGCGTTTCGGATCGTCTACGCGGTCGGCTATGTCAAGGGCACGAAGAAGGATGGCAAGGGCAGGTTGTCCGGAAGTCTCTTTTGGTTGATGCAAGGTGGACTCTGGAGTTTGTGTGTGTCTACAGCATTGAAGTTGCTTTGAGGTAGACTCGTTGGTAATTGGGGAGGGTTGATCATTGGAGAGGTTCGGGATGAGACTGATGATCAGGACTGTATTATAGAAAGTGCGAGACAAGTCGTGCGTGTCTTTCCAGCGCTGAAGCTGGCTGCGTCTTCCTGGGAGAGGAGCTGCAGAGCTCAATGCATTGATGATGGCTTAAAGTGCGTCTCTCTTTCTTCCCACCTACTAGGAGCTCCTGGAACAAACAAGTATACTAGAAGTCCTGTACATACTGGTACTACAAACTCACAATCTTGACTGTTTGTGGGTCAAGTGCTTGCGAGACGAACCTAGGTAAGAGTCACGGATTACGCGGTACTCGTAGGAGGGATTCGCGTATTATTATTACTATTATTGTCCCTCTTTTGCTCTCTCGTGCCCCTCGTCATCATCAACGGTACGAGTCATTAAGGCACACGACCCCACACTAAGTGAGTCATTTTTCAGCATGTTTTATTTGTGACACTTTAATCCAGGATTTCAATTGCGCTCGTCTCGACAGGTATAAATCCCCAACCACTGCCCTCCCTCAAAACCTCGTTGAACTCTTCATCATGGCAGACGCAACCGAGTCTGTTACCCAAGACACTGCCAACCTGCACCTCGATGAAGTCACCGGGGAGAGAGTCTCCAAGTCCGAGTTGAAGAAGAGACAGAAGCAAAGACAACTAGAAGAGAAGAAGAAGGAAAAGGCCGCCGCTGCCCCGCTCCAAGTGGAAAAGAAAGCCATGAAGGCAGAACTCGACGAGAGCAATCTCAACCCGAACCAGTACTTTGAAATCAGGAGTGGTCGCATCAACCGGCTGCGGGAGACCAAGGACCCCAACCCGTACCCTCACAAGTTCCTGGTCAACACGGACCTGGGCAAGTTTGTCGAGGAATATGCCTCCCTCAAGCCCGGCGAGCAGAAGAAAGAGGTGGAGATACGTGTCGCGGGGAGAGTCTACGTCAAGCGATCCGCAGGGGCCAAGCTGGTCTTCTACGACATCAGGAGCGGCGGCACCAAGGTCCAGATAATGTGTCAGGCGCAAGAAGCTGCCGGAGACGTCTCCTTCGAGGCCCAGCACGAGCACCTGAGGAGAGGGGACATCATCGGCGTCATCGGGTACCCCGGACGGACCTCGCCCAAGAACCGTCCCAACGAGGGCGAACTCTCCGTGTTTGCTCGTCAAGTCATCCTCCTCACACCCTGCCTGCACCAGATCCCCTCGGAACATTTCGGTCTCCAGGATGTCGAAACCCGCTTCCGCCAGCGCTACCTCGATCTCATCATGAACGAGAAGTCGCGCAACATCCTTCTCACCCGTGCCAAGATCGTCTCCTACGTCCGGCGCTACTTCGACTCCAATGGGTTTGTCGAAGTGGAAACGCCCATGATGAACTCCATTGCTGGTGGTGCCACGGCCAAGCCGTTCAAGACACACATCAACGAGTACCAAACCGACATGTTTATGCGTATCGCACCCGAGCTGTACCTCAAAATGCTGGTCGTGGGAGGTATCGACCGAGTATATGAGCTGGGAAAGCAATTCCGCAATGAAGGCGCCGACCTG